ACTTAAGTTACAACCTTAAATCTTCCACTAATCTAATTTGTAATTTTGGAAGATAATTTTATTTTACTGATTCCTTGTATCCTTATTTGTAAAATAAGTGTATTCTTTGAAATGATGTACAATAATATTCTCTGTTCTAAAATTTTGAAGTCTTAATTTTAAGAAACTTTTATTGAAATGTAAATGCTCATAATCCATTATCATCTGTCACTTTCAAATTTTCCTTCCTTTAACTTATAATACACACATTGCATATCTTATATATTTACATAAGCAAATTATGTAAATTCTACAGCTTTAATTAAAACAAAATAAATAAAAGTTGTTAAGAGGGTAAATTCTTTCAGTTCTCACCACAAGGAATTTCTTATCTGGCTTTCTCCTTTTATTGTATCTATATGAGGTAATGAATGCCAACTAAATTTATTGCAGTAACCATTTTATAATATATAAAAGTCATACCATTATACTGTACACCTTAAATTTATACAGTAATGTATATCAATTATATCTCAATAAAACTGCAAAATTATTTAAGATGTAATGAATAATTTTAAAAATGATGAGGTGAAAAGATAATTGTTTGCTGGTTAAGAATCCCTTAGAACTAAGCCAATTTTAAAGCTTCATAATGATAGGCAAATTAATTTCTCCAAGTCCAAATTTCCTGTTTGTATAATGATTATAAAAACTGTCTCACAACGTCAATGAAAGGATTTAATGATATACACCCTGGTAGCTGCCTAACATAAGGAACGGTACACAGTAAACATTAGTTATCTATTGCTATGTAACAAATTATCCCCAAATTTATCAGTTTAAAACAACAAACATTTAGTATTTCACAGGTCCCGTGCTTCACGAATCTGGGCACAGCTTAGCCGTGTGCATCTGGCTCAAGGTCTCTCACAGGGTTGCAATCAAGCAGTTGGCCAGGGCTGATATTTTAAAAACAAACTACAGTTACTTGATTAATAGAGCAAAAATATACATTTTGCTGCATAATATTTTCCAACTCTTTTCCAAACTTCTTTTGCTCAAACACACCAAATGTACACAATATTCTGCCATTAATAACTGTGATCGGGATTGTGGGGGCAATGTATTCCAACAATTAAAATGAAAAGAAATAAATCTAAAATAATCAGAAAGTCCAGTCCCTCAATGTCCCTATGATTTTAAGCTAGAGACATGGTACATTGGCCAGTACTACACTGAGCTGGGCAGACTGCCCTCTATTTAAATTAATCATGCTCCTATTAATGCCACTCAAAGTAATGCTAATAATAAAACTAACATTGATTGAGCATCTCTATGAGTCAGACAAAATGTATGAAGAAACAGTTTTCATGCCACTGAGCATTAGGCAAGGCAGGAAAATGCCTTGGGAGATGATAAACAAAAGAGACGAGACACACTATTGTCCCTGCTTATCAACTTGAGAGAGTTTCCAGACCACAGCATCTCCCAAATTCAGGGAGACCAACATGGCTAGAGTGTGTGGACAGAGAGCTAGGGAGACAAGATATGCATGGAACAAGAACTCCCAAGACATGCAGAAGGTCCTCTTTGAGTATTCCCTACCTACTGGTCAGCGCATATGTGTGGGGGGACTACCAGATGTCATGGAAAGAACCACTCAAGAGGATGTGAACTAGTGCTGGACACTCACAACAGAGCTTAAAATATTTTAGAGTACACAGAAGCTTCTTGCCTTGGGATTGAGCAAATACTAACCCTAGACTATTCTTGTCCTTCCTGACAAATCTTAAATATAAAATCCCAAAGGAACAGTTTCCTAATAACTTTTAAAAGGGCTGATTCCAGCTCTAAGCCTTCACTCTTCTAGCTGAAGTTATGAACATCACAGAGTAGAGACAAGCTGATTTTCTGTGCCTCATCAGAACTCCTAAACAACAGAAACCACGAGAGATAATAAGTCATTATTATCGTTTTAAGACTAAAGTTTTTGGGAAATTTGTTACTTGGCCGTAATTAAGTTCATAGATCTCAGAATTAACAAAGGAGGTATCTAAGGAACTTCCCCTAGACACGATCGTAGATCACAAGATTCTGAACTGATAACATAATTGAATGAAACTTTGGTAGTCTTAGAAGTGGTAGTTCTTAAATATGGAAGGGACATGAATCATAGGGGTCAGGGAATGAACTATAATGGTATTTGTAGCCATGATCCTCCCTGTCCCCCCAAAGAAGCAAACCTTACTGCATACAAACCCTTGCATAGTTCCCTCCTACGCTGACTCTGAATTTGGCTACATGCCTTACTTTGGCCAACTGGATGATAAAAAATATGATGCAAGAAAAGACTTGAAAAGTACAAAAGCACATTAATGTTTACTCTCTCTCGATTCTTGGAACCCTGAGACTTCTATATGAAAAGCATGGTCTAACCACCTGAAGGATGGATGAACATCTGTGGAAAGTGGCCCCACAATCCCAACCATTCCAGCCGTACCACCTGAGGCCCTGGACACGTGAGTGAAGCCATACCAGATAATTCAGCACGAGCGGAGCCAGCCCAAGCCAGAAGAAACGCAGCCAACCGCAGAGTTATGAGAAATAGTAAATCATTGTTTAAAGCCATTCAGTTTTGTGAATGGTTTGTTATGAAGCAAATGCCAATAAATACAGTCTCTGAAAAGACCCCAAACTACATCAAACTTCAGATACATACTCCTTTAACGGCTCCAGGAATGCAACAAATCCCTCTTTACACATAAATATGATTCCTGTCTCTCTATTCTCAGCTTCCAACTGCTTTCTTTATAAAAAAAAAAAAAAAAAAAAAAAGAACTCACATATTTGATATGGGGTTTTTTAGGGAATTTATTTACTTTTCTGGTTTAACTGCTCCCTCTGGAATCCAGTTTGTCATCTACCCTAATCAGCTTCATGCAGGAATCATTCCCACCAACTCTGTTGTTGTTAAAGTAGGTGCGATGAGGAAGAGCTCCAAGTTATGCCAGTGCTGCCTCAGATGTCTCCCAAATGCAGTTTCTTCCCTTCATTCGGATCACTTTTGACTCATTACTTCAGTACATGCTTGTTTCTTGCCTCTGTGACTACATATCATGAAGTCTACCAGGCTTCCAGTCGCTCCCTTACAAATACACCCTCCATATTGTCACTAATCTTCTAAAATTAAAAACTTTCAGTAGGTTCTCATTTAGATCTGCTAGGGACAACAAAAATATACTGAGGGCTCGTTAAATGCCTGCTAGGCACTATGCCAACTGCTGTGCATGCAAAGCTGAATAAGCCAATACCTGCTTTCAAGGAGTTTCCATTCTATTAAAATGAGACTGACAGCCCACCTGGGCGTGGCTCAGCAGTTGAGCATCGACCGAAGATCCAGGAGATCGAGGTTCGATTCCTGGTCAGGGCACATGCCCGGGTTGCGGGCTGCAGCTGATCAATGACTCTCTCATCATTGATGTTTCTGTCTCTCTCTCTCCCTCTCCTTTCCTCTCTCTGAAGTCAATAAAGATATATTTTTTTTAAAAAAAGAGACTGACAGATAAAGAGATATTTTTGATGTAATGTGAAAAGTGCTACATAGAGGGAAACATGGGAAAAGAATTTGTCAGAAAGCCTTCATAGAAGTGACAATGCTTAAGAAGTCTGATAGGCTGGCTGTCATTAGCCAGCTATGCACAAGCATTGCTTTATACGTGGGGAAGAGGGAAAAAGGACAGCGTCTAGGAGCACTTCTCAGTTTCTGACTTGGTTAGATACTGGTATTGTCACTGAGGTGGGAAATGCAGGAAGAAGAGGCCCTCCTTTGTTTCACCCTGTTGTGGTGGAGAGTGTGGATTGAGACTGGAGTGTACTGAATTTCAGATGATTGTGACACATCCACGTGGAGAGCTGAGTGCAGACTTTATCCGTAGGTTAGATTTCAAATTTAGGAGTCTTAAGCATATGAGAAGCAAAAAAAAAAGAGCACATGTAAAGTAGCATGTATTGATTAAGAAACTGCCTCTGAGGACACTATTTAATGATGATTATAATTCTTCTTTAATCTTTGAATATAAAAGGGCAATTATCCACAAGGCTGTTATCGAGATTAAATGTAGTATTTAGCTTAGTGCCTGGAGTTAGTAAATTCTCAATAAATGGTAGGCATTATTACTAAATGGCCCAGAAATAACAGAGAACAATAGGGCCAAGGAATCTAAGAGGCTAAGTCCAAATTCCTGGAATCAGGTAGAGCCACTGCCCTCAATGTCCTCACCGTCTACATAGGTCCTTGAAGAAAAGGGTCGTATATTACTCACCACTGAATTACCAGTGCCCAACTCAATGATTGGCCAATGCAGTCAGGCACTTTATAAATTTTGGCTGAATGGCTGAGAGGAGAAAGAGATATATAGGAGAAAGCGAAGGACACAGAGAGGAGGGAGTAGAAGTGAGAGAGAGCTAGAAAGAAAAGGGGGAGACTATAGGGAGGAGGGTAGAAGGAAGGCAATATGCCCATAAGGAAGCCAATGTATGTATGTAAGATCGGGAGTGGGAAAACGTTGTGGGAGTCTGGGAGAGGGTGTGGTCATAGTGAATATGAAGGGACAGGGGCAAAAGTCAGGTCTCTGGCCCTAGAATCTGGGGTACAATCACTCCTGGATTTTTCTTTTTTTTGGAACCATAGCTCCTTGGAGGCCAGAAGAAATTAGCCAGCTATGCACCAGCATTGCTTTATATGTTGTGATTTGGGGTTAGGTTTGACTGTTGGTTTGGTGTTAGTTTCAAAGAGAAATGATATTTCAACTGTGGGCCTCTTAGACCATGCCCTAGGACTCATTTTCCAAACTCTGGGAGCTCAGTCCAGAGGAGCCAGCCCTCTGGGGGCTCCGCCCTTTGGGGTCCCCACATTCCAACTTGGAACTCCTGTGACAGTGGCGCCTTGGAGACGAGGGGGTACTGGCCATTCTTGGCTCTGTCAGGACAAGGGACAAGGCACGGAGGGGCCCAGGACTACTATGGAGCTGTACCTCAGCTCCTGCTCCAAGGCTGCCAGAGTTGCCTCCACCAGGACGGCCACCAGCAGCCTGGCTGATGACCGAGAGCAGTGCAAAGAGGTGAGTGGCAGGAGGCTGGGTGTACTTGTCTTCTGGTGGGGTGGGGCATGGAGAGCCACATGCAGGTCCTGCCGTTGCTACCATCACACTTGGGACATCCACATGTGACTCACTGGGTATCCACATCCGGCTGGTGAAGGCCCTGGAGGTCTTCAGGGGTGTCTGGCAGGATGGGCCCCTTCGACCCTGAGAAGATGACTCTTCGCTTCCTTTGGTTAAAGTAAGGGTAGATAGGCCTAACCTAAGTAAATAAAGCCTAAAAGGAAAGACAAAACTCTCCAATTGGACCTGACAGGGTGGGCCCAAAACCCACTTTCTAAGCATCGGAGAGGCTGAACTATTGGTTCTGCCTCTTGGGGTCAAGCTGCCTGTGATCCCAGGGAGCAATACTTTCTACTATACTACGAAGTTAAGTGAAAAGGTAATTTTTGTCTTGATGTTGGTTGTCTTTGCCCATTTCTACTTGTTGTTAAAGTGAGGTGCTACATTATACAAAGTCCATTATGGGAACTCTCATTAACATTCACAGAAAAAAAAAAAAAAATCAAACCCACATCTAAACCAAGGTATTGTTTAGGATTCATGCCAAGCAACTTCATCTAGTACTGCTTCCACAGAATCATGGGCTAGAAAGGTTTGATTCTTAGCTCTTAAGTTTTGGAAGCACATTAACTTTCCTTTATAACACAAGATATATGTATTTAGTGAGATTTTATTTACTTAGAAATAAATATGTTTAGGTCAAAGGTGGAAAATTATTGATGCTGGCTGACATTTAATTATGTTATTATTTTAACCAATAATAACTTGGACAAAACTCTCATTATAGAAACTTTTCTATGATTTTGTTCTGAGAGAAATTCTATTTCATACACAACAGTGAGGAAAGTGGAATTAAGATGAGTTAACATGTTTAGGTACTTTAACCTCACTTTGTGGAAGAAGGCTCTGCCTCCCTGAAGAGACACCACGATTTCCCCCAACTTTCCTATGCAGTCTTTACTCCAACCCAGAACCTCAGCTTCCTCCCATTAGGGTCCTTTATATGTACTCACACATGGCATGATAATGCTTCTGTGCCTTTATCCACCTTGCCCCCAAGCCTGGCATACCTTTTCCTCTTCTCCTCAACCTATGAATTTCAGCCATCTTTCAAGATTTATTTTCTGAACTATCATGGCCCCAATGAGCTTACATTTCCTCAGAATTTGCATTGCCTTTCATTTGTAGAATTTTAATCAACATTACAGTTCTATAATTACAGTTTCATAACTTACATCATACTGGGTTATGGTGCATACATCCCTCAAACCCTTTCTTGTTCTTAGTTCTCAATGCTACTCCCACCCCCAAATCTCCCCAGCCCTCATCTCAATCACTAACACCAAGGAGGTTCAGTGTATTCTTCTTGAATGGTTTCTTTGATTAATATCACAAAAAAATTTACAAGGAAGAATTCCGAGTGACAACCCCCCCTTACCCTTCTACTCTCTATGATGTCAGAAATGAGTAGGGCCCCTTGGTATTTGATACTTGCCTAGTAGACATGATTTCTTAAGGCAAGTTTTGCTTCTGGAAAATGTTTGTTTTTAAAAACAAATCTGTTTTCCTAGGACAGAGCAAGCTAACTAAAAGCATGCTTGCCTCACACAATTTAACTGGGTCATATTTGCATAGCTTTCCTAAAGCATGCTTGAAACCTATACCACCCCCCTTTTGTATCTAAAGTTAGCACTGTCATTCTTTTGTCTCCTTCCTCAAATATATTGTTTGCTGTATTACCATTTTCTGTCAAAGATTAATTAACTTGTCAACTACTTTTGAAAAGATGTTCTCTCTATTCTATATTACATTCATTCCCCCAAAACTGTCTTCATTGAATTATAATTGGGCACCAAACTATTTCCTTGAAAACTGAGTTTGTGAGAATTTTCTTTTTCTTTCAGTAAAAGCTCCTCAATGAAGTAATGCTTCATATTTACACTTTTTTTAAAGGAAAGCAAACCAATTATTTCAATTGAACAACAATAGGGTTACCCTGGCTCCAATGAATGGGTTTGTTTAAAAAGTGCTCTTTGTTTACAGGTCAGTAGCCCGGGTTTGATCTTGAGAAACATCTCATCACAGCTAAAAGTCAATATCTAAAAGAAGTCCACAGCTAAATGTCAACATCTGAAAGAAACAATGAGACCAATCCTTGGCTCATGACTGTTGGTTGCTCCATATCTGGTTCCACTGAATTCATAACAGTGCCCTACAGAATTCCTTTCTTTGTCTTTTCAGAGAAGCACTGGCAATTAGGGAATTATGCTTTATGATTTAGGCCCCTTGAAAGGTTTTAAAGTCTGGTATTTAAGCAAGAGAACAGAAACTTTCCAAGGAAGCTTTAAATAGAAAAGGAAAGCTAGCATCCTATCAGGTTCCACCAATCTGCCCCTTTGCTGCCGTATGAAGTGTCCTCCCGCCTACCTTAAGGGAGTTCTTTTTAAGATCCCACCCAGCCAGGCTCCTTAGTGTTCAGAATTTGACTGATGTGACTACTGCCGAACAGAACAACATAGAGGTCACAATTTGGTACCTGCAGATAGTTCAGGACCGTGGAGTCTTGTAAATTGAATTGGAGCCCTTCAACAGGGCAGGTGCTCTCAGGTTTGCCACATCTCCCACACATCCCAGTTGCCTTTGACTTGAGCCAGGTTCTGCTTTGACATTACTTTAGACTAAACCTTCCGTTTTCTGGGCCAAACAAAGCAAACGAACAAACAAAACGCCAAGAGAAACAAAAATAATGTAAAGACATTAGGACAACATCCACACCTACTTCTAGCCTCCACTTTTTTTCCTTTCACAGGTTCTTCCTTAACACATTAACACCATCCTGCTATTGAAAAATGGACTAAGAACTCACACACAAAAACAAAACAAAACAAAACAAAAAACCCCACCCACTTTGGTAATGTTTTAATTTACAAATAAGTTGTTTCTTCTAAAGTAACAGATATAGAAACATGGCTATTTGCTGATATTTTCCTCCTTTTATATGTCCATAGCCATTGCACAAGGTTGTATTTGGTCTTCACACATATGGAGAAATCTCAATTTCTATTAATATTCTTTATAACTGGTTATTCAATATATTGGACTTTATAATTCAGATCTTGAATTCTCTCCTGTCTGTAGCACTCAGAGAATGTTGGGTTTCTCATATTAGATAAGACTCCAAGATACAATACCTCATTCATCCATCATCTTTAACATCTAAGTTTTATTTCTACTATTTTTTGATAAATTTATTTCCATGCACCTTGGAAAAAGATTTCCCATTTCCTTCATTTTCAGATTATTGAGATATAATCGTCATAATTAGTATTACCTCTTTATCCTTTGAATGCCGCACCTTGACCTGGAAGAGGGAAGAGGGAAATGGAGAAACGAACCATTAGCTCTATACATTAAAACAAAGTTTATCCTGTTCTTTTTCTTTTCCTCTCTTCCTTTCTTCTCTGGCTCAGGGCCAAGACCTTATGGAGATCAATGGAGGAATCAAGTGAGGGTAGGTTTTTAGAATAATTCAGGTCAGTGGGAGGAAAAGTAGGAATAAGTAGCTAGCATTACTCAATCCAGATCTCTCTGTTCCTGGTTTTCCCCACTTCAAATTCTTCTTGTATGCTTTATTTTCAGTGAACATTCTAGTCATCTTAAGAGGTTGATACAAAAAAGTGAAATTTATTTTTACATTTGTCGTCTTTTAAAATCTGCGTTTGCCACTTTTTGACTTCCTTATGCTTTTAATCTGACTGATCCTTATTGTGGCCTTTTGGGAAACCAATATAAAAATCTCCATAATCCACATTTAAGAGCACGCCATTCATGCAATGATACCTTGAGGAGATAAAAGAAAGGTGGCTACTTCACCAGCAATAATGAAGCGGGTTGAAGGTGACTTCTTTTTAATCATTGAAGACTTTCAAGACTTGACATAAACTTGCTTCTATACCTCACTGGGGTGGGGGTGGAGCTTCACCTTTAACTTGGTCATGAGAGATACTTAATGGGAAATTCTATAAATTACTTAGTATTGTGGGTCAAGGGAAATCATACAACAGTTGTCTAATAATACTACTTCTTCCACCTTTTTAAATTTGTAATATCAAAAAATGATTACCAAATAATTTGAGGATATAAAGATAATCTCCCAACTCTAATATAGTTCTCTTTCTCTGTCTCCAGTGTTTCTGTATGCTTGTCAAGGATTATGTCCAAAGAAATTTTTAAAAACTTGAGACAAAATTAGCCTGATAGAATCTTGATAGAACATAGGACAGAATAGTCTATATTCTAATTTGTATTGAACATTACTATTATATTGGTATTTTATTCTAATAACTCCAATTGTATGTACTAAATTCATGTCATATTAAAAAAGCAATGAGCCTGGCCAGGCATGGCTCAGAGGTTGAGCATCGACCTGGGATCCAGGCGATCAGAGCTCGATTCCCGGTCAGGGCACATGCCCAGGTTGCGGGCTTGATCAATGACTCTCTCATCATTGATGTTTCTATCTCTCTCTCTCCCTCTCCTTTCCTCTCCCTGAAATCAATAAAGATATATTTTAAAAAATAAATAAATAAAAATAAAAAAGCAATGAGATTGGGATAAAAATTTTCTGTTGTTTAACAATTATAGACAGATACAATTTCAAAATTATTAGCAACTTATAACTCTTGATACCAAAATGTTATCAAATTGTATATTATTACTCTTTTTACTCCTGAAAGTGATTCCTATGATTTTTAAATGTTTGTATTTATAGTTTTTGTTTTGTTTTTTACATTGCATGTAACTTGATGGAATTGAATAGTACAGGTAATATCTTACCAGTTTAAAATTAGAATTTAAGAGAAACTATGTCTGAGAACAAGTAAGTTAAATACTTAAACGTTGTTTCTTACATAGGGTTTGGAAGGAAGGTTTACTTGTATGAAAAGTATTTTCTTATAATATTTTTACCTTTAATTTTGACAGACTAATTAAATATTTTGTCCAAATGAAAATTTAAGCAGAAATAAATAATAATTTGAGATTGTTTTATTGGGCCAAAAAAGGGAAAGGGACCAGATCATCTATTAATGTGTCAGTAGTAGTTGGCATAATTTAGTAATTAAATTGCTACTCCAATGTGTTCCTTCTATCTGAGTTGGGGCCAATAGAAAGAGTTTATCGTGGCAGCAAAATTCTTAAGCTGGAACCCAAAACAGCTTGAGTAACAGGAGAGGGATTGTGTGAATAGTTGTAATGTCTTATGGGTGACTCAAGAACATGTACACTGTGTGTTTGTGTCCACGCATATGCAGCTGTGTTCATCCAGTAAAAAATTATATTATAAAGGTAAAGTGGAATGGTTGGGTGTAGAGTAAGTGGGTAGAAATAGTGACTCCCTTTCAATCTTTGACTTGAAGTTAGTGAATGTATGTGCATGCACACATGTTCATGAGTGAATCTGGGTTTTAGATTCAAGAGGGTTGAATAAAAATTAGAAAGGTGTGTATATGTTTACCCCTACAAATTTATGTTCTAAGGTTGAGAGAGCAGTGTAGAAAATGAGAATGACTTACTTATATGTGTAAGTGTTCTATATTTTCCCCCATTTCCCTCTCTGTGTCTAGAGTTTTTCCTGCCCTTCTTTCATATTTTCATTTAATTTTTTCAGAATGGGTGGAAATATATGATGAGATATTTATTTTCATTTTCAGAGAGAGAAAATTTTACTTTGGTTCAGTTACTCACGTCTGTAATGGATTCAAAATAGATTTAAATGGAGTCAAACAGAATTAGCTATTTAGAAAATACAGGAATTTTACTAAACACTAAATATAAAAAGGCATATCAAAGGGAAGTTTTATTTCTGCTAAATTTTAAAAACATTTTATATACACATACACAGATATAAGCATATGATACACACTTTTTTTTTTCATAGAAAATGCTTGCAAATCAAGTAAATAGACTACAAGAAAACAATCAACGACCTGGACATTGTGATGTTGCCCATTTCCACAACTTGTTGTTATGGGAGCACATCCCACCTTGTAAGAACCATGAGCAATTATTGAGGCACAGGTAAGAGTAAAGTTAATGTATATTTTATGTATGCATTGTGGACTCAAATAAGTTGGAAAAATACTAGAAAGAATTGGAGTTAGGAATTTTTTTCAAGTACTAGACACTGTTTAACTCCACTATTGCCCTCAGTATACAGAGGGAAACCAAGAAATACAAAAATTGGGAACTTTGATGCCAAGGGAAGGAAGAGCAATTCCCACCAGAGACAACAGGGTTTCTGGGAGTCCAAGAAGTATTCCAAACTGGTAACAGAAGAACGAATCAGATCCAAAATCATTCTTGTAGTTGGAAATGGAGGGAAAGAATCTTCCAGCACATGCCTCTAGCAGTAGCTTTTTATGATTCATCTTTAAGGGCTGATGGCATTAAATTTGAGAAAGTTAGTGCAAAGTCAAAAATGGAGGTTGATTAAACTATATTTAATGCCAATATAAATATGCATTGTCCCTAAAAGAAAATGTGTAAGCTCTTCAGATGTTATCTGATCATGGGCAATCATTGCCACTCTGTGGTCAAGCCCGTATCTTAGTGAAAGGAGATTACAGTGTGCTTTTTCCCTCCTCTTTCCTCCTTTATTAAGGTGAGGGATTGGGCTGCACAGCCTGACTTTTATATTCCATGAGTTCATTTTATGGTAGTTTCATAATACATATTAACATACCAGAGACCTGGACTATAGATGGAAGATTTGTTCAAGGCTTTGTAAGTCACAGGAGACCCGGGATACATCTTTTTCTTAGGAAATTCAAATCTGGTTTGTTTTTTTCTAGATTTAAAGTCAATTTTTCAGTTATTTCAGCTTTCTTTGCAAACTCATATCCTTAAACCCACTGAGTTACGAATAGTTATGATGTGAAATGTTTTTAATGAGTCTGTTCCACATTTTACCATTGTCTTGGCCAAAAGAACAGATTTTTATACACTAGGGAGATCTATATAACAAAATATGGTGAGAGCTGGCTTACAAATCCATGAACAGAACTGATAGAAAAACTGTAAAATTCCTGTAGTTCAAGAAGTAAGAAGTGAGCAAGGAGGTGGTTTGGGCATATCAAAGCAGCTGATGCCACTACAAGGGAAACACCCAATTCACTTTCACTTGCATTTGAACTTTTATTTAGATATTTGGATATGATAAGTAGGGAATTAGAACTACGTGAGCGCAGAGCAGAAGAGCAGCGTCGACTCTGGATGGACAGAGAAGAAAGATGGCAGTGGGAACAAGCAAAAAGAAAACTTAGTCTTCGTAGAAAAATTGAAGAGGTGAGAGATCTATTTAAATTATGAAAAGAAAAATTGCGTAGAGTGTTCTATTCATAAGTAATTTTAGCTATCATACTTCTTGAAGTCATTTCAAGTCTAAATAATTTAGCCACATTAATCTTTCTTCGCAGCTATAATTTACAACTTGTTACCTAAAATAATGAGTCTGACACCATAAACTATATATATGAGCCAATATCTGCTCTTACAGAAATGACAGTGAAAGTTACTAGATACCATTTGACTCCCCTACAACCCTCAGTGTGAGGAGGGTATTTTTAAAATTTAGCTTTAGGGAAAAAAAATGCCAAAAACAACCATGCCTGCATTGCTAATAAGAGTGCAGTAGGAAAGAGGCCCATTGGAAAGCCAGGGTGTGACTTGCATTACACTTGACCTGATTTCTGTTAGGCTCCTGACTTGTTCTACTTTGCTTGGTGGTGGTGGCGGCCAAAATACAAGGTTTATTGTAAATACTAATTACAGTAACATTGTGCTCTCCAGGAATGGAAGACAAAAGAGATGTTACTTCTCACAAAAATTGTAGAAGATGTTAAAAGAGAAGCTAGGATAGAGGAACAGCGGCGTAGAACCCGGGAAGAGAGTGACAAGAAGGTAGATTTAACTTTCACCTCTAATTCGGGCTGTTAGAGGAGAAGCTTGTGCTTTTCTGATTTTTGAAAGTACACTATACAAGACGGCGGTGGATCAGTTCCCCCAAATGATACACGGTGTATAAAACTGAAAGTTATTAAAATTTTTGCTATATTTTGACCATATTGTATTCTGACTATAGTATAAAGAGTGCTGCCCTATTATTTGATATAACTGCTTTTGACTTTATCTCACACCATAAACTATACTTACAATTCCTATAGAAAAAAAATGATATAACTGATTTTTTTCTTAAAATTTCTTGGAAAAAGGTTCTCAATTTTTACCTACCAGTTAATTTTTAGAGTAAGTGCTTTGAATTTTAAAAAATGTATAATATTTTATGACTTAGAGTCTAAATCTATTCAGAGAAAGAGAAATGATTTGTAATCCCAGCACCACCCCATTAACTTACTGGTACACACACACACACACACACACACACACACACACACACACAGAGGCACGCATACACTTGCAAAATATTTCTATGGATGTATTCCAATAAATAAATTCATGTTATTATACCTCATAGCTCTTTTGTAGATTGCTTTTTAAAATAACACTGACAACTTGCCATGTCAATAAATATCGGTCTAAAATTATAAATAATCATCTTAGGTAGCTTATTTTTTTATAAGCCTACACTAAGTGTAAGATTTACATAATTTAGTTATATTGATATATACTGCTATGTCACAAATATTTAAATATTGGAAATTCAAATATGTATGATAATCTTTTAAACTCCTTTTGTCACATGCACCTTTTAGTATTATCAGGAACTCACTGCTCGAATGGAAAGCTCAGCTTATTGTTTTTACCACTTTTTGACAGTGGGAGTTCTCTCCAAGTTGGTCTTTTTTTTCTTTTTTTTTTTTCCTGTTTTTTTTTTTTCTTTTTTTGCTTCCAGATATCCCTGAAATTATCTTTGTTTTTGGAGAGCAACAGAATATCCCAGGTTTCCCCATAATTTTTGCCTGATGCCAATTTCCATTCAATTGAGTCCTAGCCAATTTTAGTAGCAACCAGTACAATAGATAAATTCTGGCCCTGAGAGTGCCCATTAGACATGACCCCTGGAGGGAGGCATGGGAACACCACAGGCTGCTTAAGGTATGTTAATGATAGCTATTTGAAGTATTAATAGTCCCAATGGAGTTATTCTAAATTTTCTTTTTAAAATTATGTTTTAATACAAGAGGCTTTCAATTCATTTGTGTTTATCAATATTTTTAAATCTTTTTCTTTCAGATTTGACATTGTAGATATTTTTACTCCAAATTATGGGCTTAAATTAATTACATAAATCTTTAAAAGATTTTTGCCTTTGCATCTTTGTCAAAAATAAGTCATACCAGTCTATTTTTTAACTCTTTTTGGCTCTTTGACTTATTGGTATAATTTACTGTCTTGATTATTGTATTTTTAATAATTCTTTAAATAAGTGGTACTAGTCTTTCAAGTTTGTTCTTCATTTTAAAAGTTGTTTTGGCAAATCTAAGCCCTTAACAAATCCATATAAATTTTAGAATAAGCTTGTCAATTTCTACCAAGAAATCTTGCTGAGATTTTGACTGGCATTGTCTTGACTTGATAGATTAGTTTGGGATCAATTGATCTCTTGATAACACTGAATTTTCCAATTCATGAACCAAATATGTGTCTCCATTTATTTAGGTATCCTTAACTCTTCTTATTTATGTTATGAGTTTGCTGTGTACAAGTCTTACACATCTTTTTGATAGAGTCATCCCTAGATATTTCATAATTTTTACTATTATAATTTGTATTTTTTTCAAATTAGATGTTAGTATATAGAAGAGCAATTTTATATTCATCTTGTATTATGCATTATTAAATATCACTTATTAATTTTAGTAGCTTTTTTCCAGATGCCAACTGATATTCTACACAAATGATTATATTGTCTTTAAATAAAGGTAGTTTTATTTCTCCTCTTCAAATTCTCTTCTCTTTATATTTATTTTCCTGCCTGATTGCATGGACTAGAACCTCCAGTATAATGTAGAATAGAAGCAGTGATAAGAAACATTATTATCAAATAATTTTTTTGCCCCTCCTCTCTATGGACATATTAAGCTGCTTGATGTTGTCCCACATCTCGCTGGTACTTTTTTTATTTTGTAATTTTATTTCTCTTAGTCTTTTCCTTTTGGATGGTTTCTGTTTCTCAACAGATATTAATTAATCTCTTCTTTTGAATTGTCTACTATGTCCTTAATGCATCCATTGTATTACTATCTCACACATTTCAAAAATTGATTTTGGTTCTTTTTATAACTTTCATGTCTCTTCTTTGCCTTGTGAATGTATGGAATGCAATTATGTTATCTATGTTAATGTTCTTTTAATTCTTTCATTTGTGTCATTTCTGGGTCAATTTTGATTGATTGATTTACTTGTCTTCTGGATCATTTTCCTGCGTCTTTGTATGCTTAGTAGTCTTTGATTGGATGCCAGATGTCATAAATTTCACTTTTTGGGTGCTGAATATTTTTATATGCTTATATTTTTAGCTTTTTCCTTGGCTATAGATAATTTGTTTAGAAAGAGTTGATTGTTACAGGTCTTGGTTTTTAAAATTTGTTAGATGGAGCTAGAACCGTGTTTAATCTGGGACTAGTTATTTCCCATTTTAATACTCTACCCCATGCACTGTGAATAAAATTTTTCCAGAGTGGCTGTTGAGAATAGACATGAGAGGTAGGTGAGGGGTGCTATTCTCTCTCATCCTTTAGGGTGGTCTTTTCTGTGGCCTTGGGTAGTTTTTGTCACATTCATGTACTGATCCATTCTCTTGCTGAATGTGTTAGGGAACCATCTGAGGAGTTCTGGTGTTCTTGTTCTGTGCAATTATATTCTTTCTGAGACCTCCAAGATCAATGTTAATCCATAGATTAACAAAGGGAATCTCATTTCATGTATTATTTTACGTTTACCTATGGTGGACTGAGGACTTGTGGTTTAGTCACTCAGAAATCCTCCGAATGAAGATGATTTAGAAATTCTCTCAACTTCCCAGGACAGTTATGGATTAATAGACCCTTTCTGATCTGAAGCTGGACTAGTTCCCTGAATATGTACAGTGAAGTAATTTGCATGTGTGTGTTAAATATGTGTATTATTCATGTTTGGTCAAATGGGAATTTACCCCTTATTACTCTTCCGAATTTGTACTCAGAGTAACCTTACAAGTGACGAAACAGGAATGACTGTTCATTTCCAATATACTACCATCTTATATTTGTTTTGCATTTCTAAATAGCAAGTTGATGTTAACTAATACATTTTCTTTAATGTTTTAGAAACAAGCCCTTTTAGAGAGAAAAATGGCTTATCATTTACAAAAAATGCAACAAAATGGCCTTAAAAGAGAAGACATGGGAAAAAATTTACCTGATTACAGAGGACAAGATGGGACATATTGTGACCGTAAGAATATTAATAGTTGATGTGGTTCTGTAGAAGGCACTTTTCTATGTACTTATATGAAAATGATTTTGTAAAACTTTGTCTGCTTACACTTGCTCTACTTGCTCCATCAGGCATGGTTCTAGGCATTCCCCTACTACAGTTCATGGTGAAAGTAGACATATATGTAAAAACACACGCACACAAAATAACCTTACCAAGTGGTTCAGTGGACAAGCTTGCCTATACTGCCGTTCCAACCAATTTCTCTGTACTTAAAATAATGTATTCTTTGCTACTGAAACTTGAAAAAGTTGTGTGTAAGATGATGGCTATTATATACCAACATAGTTTTCTGCTGTATTGCCAGCCAGAGAGAATAATAGTACCAGAGAAAAACAAAAGGAAGAAGGGAGGGAATGAAGAAGTTAGAGAAGGAAGGAGAGCAAAGAAGACTGGAAAGGAAAAAAGAAGGAAACAAAGAAAATTTAAAGAAAGAACACCCGGCCGCCGTTGTTCAGGGGTTGAGCATCGACCTACGAGCCAGGAGGTCATGGTTCGATTCTGGGTCAGGGCACATGCCTGGGTTGTGGGCTTGATGCCCAGTCGGGGGCATGCAGGAGGCAGCTGATCAATGAATCTCACCATTGATGTTTCTGTCTCTCTCTCCTTTCCCCTTCCTCTCTCTGAAATCAGTAAAATAAAAAAATTTAAAAATCTAAAAAAGAAGGAACATCAGGTCATGACTTTGCTATCCCTGATCTCTACCAGATTCCATTTATTTATAATATTATAAAAATATTGGGGACTTTATCAAATCAATTTAATTAATAATATTAATTAAAATTTCATGGCCAGAATGCAAAAAAATGTAGACTTGTTTTAATTACCTGTGACTATGTAGTATTAGAAAAAAAACATGATCATCTTCTATGAAGTTATCATTGTAGCATCCCATCAATCTTATCTCTGTCCCATTAATCCTGTTTCTAGGTGAGTGCTTACCTGTGTCAATCTACGAAATTACTAACTAGTCTCCATTGGCTCTTAATTTAACCTACTTCAAATCCATTTTTTAAACTGCTACCTAATGATATTTAAACTCTCTTCTGATTGTTTCTTTTCCTGGCCCCCAAACTTAAAGATCCCCATTACCTCTCAAATGAAGCTTAGATTTTTTGGGCAATCATTCATCACATTGATCACCATCTAGAGTCCACACCAAATCTAACATATTTACTTCATATCACATATTTCCTTAAAGAAGGTAGCTATGATCTAAATGTTAGCATATATAGACTCTTGAGCCAAACTGCTGAAGTCCCAAGTCCTGCTTTATCATTTTCTAAACATGTAAATAGCTTGGACAAATAATTTAACTTCTCTAAGCCACAGTTTCATCATTTGAAAGCAAAGGTAATACTCCTAAATAATTCCTATAAAGTGTTTAAAAGTTCTAGCCCATAGTGAGCACTCAGTTCATTGCATTGTCCAATCAAATAAAGACTATTGACCATTCCTAAAATACAAATTACCTTTCATACTTCTGTGCCTCTCTTTTCCAACTTTCTCAGCCAGGACTGACATGCTCACTGACCATCTATCCAAATCCTACAATTCTTTAAGCTCCACTGTAAATTAAACTCCATAAAGTCTTTCTAAATAAACCTAATTGGAACATCCCTCTCCTTTGAATCTCTATAGTACTTTGTGTCATTCATTTTTTTTTAATGTATTTAAACCTCACTGTTCATGTATTTATTTATTTATTTATCCCAGAGAGAGGAAGCGAGGGAGAGAGACAAAGAGAAAATCAATGTGAGAGAGAAACATTGATAGGTTGCCTCCCATACATGCTTCGACCCAGAATCGAACCCACCACCTTTTGGTGTATGGGACATGCTCCAACCAACTGAGCCACATGGCCAGGGCTACTTTGTGTTATTTTTGATATACTTATTACATACTTTCAACTGTCTTAATCACCCATAGTATTGTAACCTTTGTGTTTCACAGGGCACCTAGTACTGTATGTAAGTATAGACTAAATATGTTTGCTGAATGAGATAATTCAGTCTATTCAGCTCATTGAGATAATGACAGCAACGTCATGCTTCAGAGAAGAAATCACCTCAGTATATACATTCCTTACTCGTCAACTGTTAATTTTCTCATTTAGTAGGAAAAAGAGTTTCAAGTAGCTATTTTAAACATTTGTTACCCCAAACCCCCCTTTTCTGAAGAAGTAGAATATAAATTAATTTAATTTATATTATCAAGGTGACAGAGGATAAGAATATTTGTTTCACAAATGAAATGAAATTGTATCTCTATAGTAAAGTTGTCATCCTCCACAAAGTAGACAGCTTCCAGAGGGACACACAGAATGGAAGAGGAAGGGACTGTCGTGTGAATCTGCTCCAGTGGGAGACAGATCAAGCTCACATTTTATATCTCTGATAAAAACCCATTGGGTGCACATGCTGTGAGGATCCTTTACCCTCCTAAATGGTTGGGAACAGGAACTAAAATCATCTCTATCACAAACAAGGGACATGGATATGGTTGCTTATGCCAGGCTGTGGAGCACATCTAAGAACGGCAATAGTCACTGTGAGCAGGTGGGTCTCAGCCAGTAGCTATGTCAGTGTGCATCCCCACAAAGCGGAAATTACATTTTACAGTTGAGCTGGGTGTAGCTTTTCCTGTCTTCCAGAAGAAAATTCTGTCCCTCATTTAACCAGAAGGGGTAATATTTCAAGAGTTACTGTCTTTCTTCCTATTTCACATCTCTCCATCTTCTCCAATACCTCCCCACATTCCACATGTAAATTAGCATATGAATTAATTCCTCTGGGGCATAAAAACATAGTCTATCTTGGGTAATTCTTTCATCACCATTATTAAAAATAAATGTTTTATTACATTTCTTTAAGCTTATTCTCTAAAGAAGAAAAAGAAGATTACTGATGATATAAAGATAATTTACACTGTTGGTGACCAGAAATCAAGTAAAGGAGTTTTTGGTAATTGAATAGTGTGTTAAGAAGTACTAAATAGTAATTTGGGAAAAGACTGTGTGTAGATGGCTTCTTTAGCTTAAATGCAGATAAATCCTCTGTTCTTTGTTGTCAAATGACTGATTTAGAGTGATTCTTACCAGAATTTGATCTCTAGTTACTGACTTAGTGTTTTGAACTTAACATGATATCATTTTAGAAAAATTAAATCAAAGGTCTATTGCTATTAAATGAACAGTAAATGAAACCTAACATTTTATTTACTGTTTCATTTACTGTTCATTGCAAATAATTTTATAATGTTCAAAATAATTTTAGGAAACTCTGAAGCAAGTCATAAATTAAGTACATTAACTGCAAAGTCACCTATTGAAATATCACTTTATTATTTATCTCATACTGTGTGACTTCATGTTGTCTATTAGAGCTCACTGGTCTCCAAATGACAGCATAAAAATCCTCCCAATATTACACTATCAAAAGTGTAAGGCTGTTCAAAATTGAACAATATTGATCTCTTCCCACTATTAAATTTTCAGGGGAAAATAAGTGAAGTATGAAAGTTAAATCCCTTTGTTCTTATCAGTTAAAATCTAAAGTCCAAAATCTTCCCTCTCTGAGTCTATAATTTGATTAGTCTCATCAAGATTCAGAAACCTAGGAAGAGACAGAGTTGCCTTAGCTGACACTGTATTTCACTCTCAGAAGCACTGAGGTTGAGGTAATTTATCTCTAAACTGTATGGATTCCATTTTTAAATTTCAAAGATTTTTGTATAAAACACCTAAGAGTTCTTACAACACATACAATGATAACAACAACAGCCCCACATCTACTAAAATGTAGACAAAACTAAATTCTCAGTATCTAAAGCAGTTACCTCACACAGGATGAACTTCTAAAACTCTAGTGTTTAATGCAGCCCAGACTGGTCTTACTGATATTAAAAAATCATAGTGGCATTGAAGGAAAGGATGCTAGATGGAAAACATTGTTTTCAGCCTCACCAGGTTACCAGTCTATTTGTGACAACCGTCCGGGGATCAGACCTGTAAATTTAAGCATAGTTCAGAGACATTTTCTATTAAAAGTTGAATTCTGACACAATATTGATACATATGGGGAAGGCGGGGATTTATCTATCTACTCTCCACTCTAAGAGTGGCATGTGAGTCATTCTTTTTTGTGAATTTTAGAAATATACAGTAGTGACACCACAAGCTACATATTATTAGAAGTACCCCTCTTTCCCATTCACCATAATGAAAACTTCTTAGTTTCAATTTTATCATTGAACCCTGAGTACAGACTCTGTACATTGTCACCACCTTTACACTCTTATGAGCAGTGTGTTCCACAGTTTGCAGCTAGCAACTCATCAGCTGAGTTCAGAGCCCTGAATTCCCCATAGTCCCTCCTTCTGGTCTTGTCTCTGCATTTTTCATTCTCACACAAAGGCCATGAGGTATTTATTTTGCTTCTAAATTACCCTAAAGAAAAATGGAAATTTTTTGTACAATTTCATGAATGTTAACATACGTATAGATTTGTGTGACCTTTACCACAATCACATAAGTGTAGTTCCAGCATTCTAAAAATCTCCTTTTGCGGTCCCACCTCCCTCCCTCCCACTAATAACCCCAGGTTACCACTGATGTGTTCTCCATCAGTATAGTTGGTTTTTTTCCTTTGGAGAATGTCTTATAAACAGAATCATAAGGTATTTGACCTTTCAATAATGGCTTCCTTCACTCAGCATAATGCCTTTGAAATTTATTCAAGTTACTGCATGTGTCAATAGTTTACTCCTTTTTATGGCTGAGTAGTATTCCATTGTCTTTATGCACAAGAGTTTGTTTATATAGTCACCAGTTGAAGAAAATCTGAGTTATTTCCAAGTTTTGGTGATTATGAATAGAAAGGTTTGCAGTACTTGCATTCAGCACTCTTAGGATAAACCTTATTTATTCATTACGTCTTATCTTTATTATATATAATTTTTCAGTTTTATTTTTATAATTTTTATATCTTTGCTCATAGGGAATATTGACTGAGGTGGGTTTTTTTTCTTGTAATATCTTGCAATGATTTTGGTATCAGTGATTCTGGTCTCAAAATATGATTTAGGTAAGGCATCCACTCTTCAATTTATCAGAAGAATTTGTGTAGAATTAGTATAATTTCTGCTTAGATGTTTGGTATAATTCAGAAGTGAAGTCATGTGAGTCTGGAGCTTTTTTTGTGGAAATATTTTTAACTATGTATTTAATTTAATAGATATAAGGTTCTTCATATTATCTATTTATTCATGAATAAAATTTGGCAGTTTGTGTTCTAGGAATTTGTCACTTGCATATAAATTTTTTAAATTATTGCCATACATTTCTCATAGTATTCCTTTATTATTATTTTTAGTATTATCTGTAAACTCTGTTGTGTTATCTCTAATTTTTCTGATACTAGAAATTTTTGTCTTCTCTGTTTTCTGATCAGTCTGGCTTATCCCTTTGTGAACTTCTCTGAGTCATCTGTGGGTTTCATTTTCTCTCTTGTTTTTCTATTTCTTTGATCTTTACTTTGATCTGTACTATTTCCTTTCTTTTTCATACTAAGTATTGACAAGTTGTGGAGGAAGTGAAATGCTGATGCCCTGGCAAATGGTATGTAAAGTGGTAAAAACACTTTGGAAAACAGTTTGGCATTTCTTAAAAGTTAAACACACACCTACCACATGACTCCCGCTACTAGGTATTTAACCAATAGAAATGAAAAAAATACGTCCACACAAAGACTTATGCATGGATGTTCATAAAGGTTTAGTTGCAAGAGGCCAAACTGTAAACAACCCAAACAACAGAGAATGGATAAAAAATTTCAACATATCTATACACTGGAAATCTTCTCATAAAAAAAGGAACAAATTATTAATACATGTGACATTATGTTGAGTGAAAAAAAACAGGCAAAAAATAGGAGTACATACTATATGATTCCATTCATATAAAATTCTAGAAAAGTCAAGTTAATCTTGTGTGAGAGGTCCAGAGCGGTGTGTCGAGGGATGGTAGGAGAAAGACGGATTACAAAGGTGGATGAGAAATCTTTTGAGGGTTTTGGAAATGTTATTTTGACTGCAGTGATGGTTTCACAGTGGTAGACATTTTAAAATGGATAAAACCATTCCATTTAAATAAGCACAGTTTATTGTATTTCAATTATACTTCAATAAGTTGTTTTCAAAAAACGACAGTGTTTCTTTCATTTACTTTTAGACCGCACAACAAATGTCAATCATCAATCTCCAAGTAGTTCAAAGAATGTTGTCAAAAGTTCAGAAGCAACTCCAGTTTGTCACTCAAATGGTACTGAACAAAAGGTATAAAATTATGTCTCAAACTTTTATATGGTGATCATTAATTTACCTAAACTTTCACTTCTGTGAACCATCTCTTTCACTGTTAGCATGGTACTGATTGTTTAGGACTATTAGGGTTCTATTCATGAGATCTGATCCCTTTCCCTGAAAGTGCTGAGTCACCTTTGTGCTGAACTCATTATATAATTTTGCAGAAACTAAACAAATATTTGATAATAACAGCTAATATTTATTGCTCATCTACTGTTGGCCAAGCTCTGTGCTAAGCTGAAGGGAAGAGAAAATGAGAAAGTAGGGTCACATAGGATACAAAAATAAATAAGGCAATCACTTGAGAACTCATTGTCTAGTAGGCCAGAGACACACAGTAAAATATTTTTTATAATAAAATGAGATTCTGGGGTGATAAATTTTATTCTTATTCTAAACAATTTCTCATTAGATTAGATTAGAATGGATTGGATTGTCTTTCCCTGAAACAAACTGAATGACTCTAAACTTTTAAAACCAACCTTTGAATGGATTCCATGCTTTAAACAAAATATGGACTATTAGAAGAAGAACAGACTTGTACATTGCTACATACTCAATTTCAAAAGAGTTAGATCTGAGATCCTTGTGAAAGGTATCCTAGGAGGTTGGTAAGATGTATTATCCCTGAAACAATTTTCATGAGAGAGTTAGGAGATAAAGGAGAGGAAAAAAATCTGTATTTGGTTGATAGAAGGCAAAATCTTTTTCACAAGTACTAATAAATGTTTTTTCTCTTTAATGTTATACCACATAGAAAGATGGAATAACTAAAAAATCAAGCATTTGCAATGAAAAAGGTAAGAAAATGAAAAATATACTTGTTTTGTTGTTTATTAAGAATATAATTATGGCCCTAGCCATTTTTGGCTCAGCGGTCCCAGTTTGATTCTGGCCAAGGACACGTACCTCGGTTGCAGGCTCCATCCCTGGCCCCAGTCGGGGTACGTGCGGGAGGCAGCCAGTTGATGTGTGTCTCTCACATCGATGTATCTCTCTCTCCTTCTCTCAATTCCATCCTCTCTGAAAAAGCAATGGAAAAAATATCCTCAGGTGAGGATTAAAAATATATATATTTATAGTTTCACCATAGTTTTCATGCTATTTGTTTTACCTGATTATAAAAATCATGGCTATCTTAGAAAATAAAGCAGGGTATAAAATTGTTTATAATTACAGATGTTATAATTAGCTCAAATATTTGAGTGATTGCTTGATGAGTACAACTTTTGAAATTTGCAAAGTGTGGAAGTTAGGGTTCCTGATGCGACTGTTTACAGTGACAGGGAGAATAAGTTACTGACATATTGTGTATGGTTCAGTAGGTTACAGTACAGAAATCTGTCCCCAGGAATGTTCATATGGGGGCCAATGCCATCGTTCCCCACATCCCCTTGAACAGCATGTACACTGACTAAGTATTTATGTGCCTTGTTAGATTTCTGAAAGTCTCTAAAAAGCTCCTTCCTCACGCATATCCTAAATATACACACAGAGAATATCCCACATCTCCATGCAGGGGCCAATGACCACCTCAGATTCAATACAAAATCAAATTAATCATCTTCCTGATCCTTCTATTATCATCCAGGAACAAAACCTGAGTCATCTTTGACTCTCCTCTTTACTGTATTCTGCATCCCAAAGTTGCCACTTTCTGTCTAATCTATCTTCTCGATTTACCTTGCCCTCTCCTCTTTTCCATTCCCACAGCTTCTGCCCTTGTTCCCTCCGCCCTTTACAATTTTAGTACCCTTCCTCCAACCTCTTCCTCCTCTTTTAAATCCACCATACATTTGCTGTGAAAGCATTCTTCCGAAAAAACAGCTTTGGTTATTCAAGTTGTTTGTGGTTTTTCATTGCAGGCTGAATGAAATGGAAACAGTTTTTCTGACCATGGTCTTGTAGTTAGTAAACAGGGATTAAGGTGGTCATAAAATTAAATAAATGCAGCCCGCCCGGTCAAGGCTCAGCGGTTGAGCATTGGCCTAGGATCCAGGAGATCATGGTTTAATTCCCAGTCAGGGCACATGTCCCGGGTTGCAGGCTGGATCCCCAGTAGGGGTCGTGCAGGAGGCAGCCGATCAATGATGACTCTCTTATCACTGATGTTTCTATCTGTCTCTCCCTCTCCTTTCCTCTCTCTGAAACCAATAAAGATATATTTAAAAATAAATAAATAAAAATAAATAAATTCGAATCAGAGGTTAAGGATTTGAGAATTGTCCTTGGAACTGATGGTGAACCACTGAAAATGTGTAGTCAGTAATCATCAAAAAATGTCATGCTATTCTTTTAGACACTTCCTTAACTCAAATCAATCCCCTATGTGGTAATCCAGTGATTGTGGTAGCTCAGCACTGAGAACACTGGTTTAATTCTATTCATTAATATTCACCCTTGTTCCAGCAATATTATCTTGTCCTATTTAAAAGTTTCTCTTTTTTCTTTCTAGGAGCTGTGTATCCCTCAGCTCAAGATTATACTCTTTCTGCTCAAACATCACCCACAAGAAATTTTCCCAGACCTTCACAGCCTAATTTGGGATCTACAAAAGTTGAAGAATATAGTATTTCTTTTGCCTCAAATTCAAACAGAATTAATGAGGTACCATTTTAAGATGATCATTGGTATTAAAAAAATCACTCATAAAGTGACCATACAGAACTTTATTCCCTGCAATTAATCATGCCATAACATTTTAATAGCCCTAGGATAGTCTTCCTAGAGTACAACATGGTAGTTCACAAAATGTACCTGTAGCCTTAAGAGAAGGTATCAAATTGGGTTTCCTTGGTTAGCTTTGACTAGTACTGATGGATTGTTCAGAGACAGCCATATTCTCTCTCCCAATTCCCTTTTGACCAGTGATCAGTTACCTGCTGTTGGAAAGTTACCAGCAAAGATTCAGGGTACAGCTTCCGGATATAACACAATTTCTTCTCTATGGCTTGCCAACTTGTTATAATAAGAGTGAAAATCACATCTTCATTCCATTAGTAGCACACTGGTCTAGCTTCGCTAAAGAGGTAACATGGTTTGAAAGAAATTTCAATAAACTGGAAATTTATTAGATTATTTCCAAATGAATTCTATCTGATTACGGTGAGAAGTGGCATCCTTTTTTGTGTCCTCTAATGCCTAGTATATGGCAGACTACATTATGCATCACTTCTAAAATGTAGTATGTTTATTGTTATGCATACTATGGCATGCTTCTCTGTAATGGAGTTTTATTATAAATAAACATTTTAAAGTTCAATGTTCTATGTCAATATCTTCATTAAGTATGCTAAGAGCCATAAAAATATTTCTTAACAACTTTGACATTTAAAGTTCTCATATTGTCCAATAAACTTCTAAGGCTATATCCTTTACTAAAAACAAAACAAAAAACTCCTTTAAAAAAGAGTGTTTTTACATTTTATAATTGACCTTTGTTGGGTAATGTGTGTATTATTAAATTTTCCATTCACATTGATTTGAGTGTCAAATGTCCACAAACACCTAAATTTATGAGAAATAGCATTTTATCAATATAATTATTCATCCTGTTTCCATGTTATATACAAGCTACAACTGTCAGAAAATCTACTTCTGGTGGCCTATGTTTATCTTTTAGAATTGGAAAGAAAAAAAAAAAGTCTATTGCTCTGGATTTACCTTCTTGAGCACGCTGAATTTTTGGACAAATCTAGAGAGCTATATCCCTCTGCAGAACCTGGTCTGTCTTCTGGTTCTACTTAAACTTTTCTATATTGTTAGCTTTTTAAAAAGTCAAACTTTTTGTCTCATTGAGGTGATTACTTTAGTTACTAATCAATGCACTTCAGAGACAGTCAATTTTAGAATACCAGTGAATACTATTATGCAGAAAAGAGTTAACATAGCAGACTTGAGACTATTGTTTTTAGAAGGGCCTGCTTGCAGGGTTGGCCTTTGGCTAGTGTTTGGGAACTTGGCTTCTCTAACATTCCCTACCTGACTTAGAACTTTTCCTAATTGAATAGGAGGGGCACTGTGCCTAGACTCTGCAAAGAATGTAATTTTTGCTGAACATTGGATTACCATTTGGGAGGTTGGAATTTTGGTATGCACTAAGACAGAGGTGTCTTCATAATCAACCTTCAATAAAAAATCTTGACTGCTAACTTACTAATGAATTACCCTGGGCAGAAACATTGCACTCACTTCTGCATTTTTTATTGCTGGAGAAAAGAACATGCTCAAGCATGTCCCCCCACAGGAGAGAGAGAGCATAAGGAAGACTATGTATGGATTTTTCCAGACTCAGCCTATGTCTTTTCCCCTTACTTATCCTATAGGGTATCCTTTTTTTGTAATAAATCTTAGATATGAGTACAAATATATTCTGAGTCCCATGAGTCTTAACAAATCACCAAATGTGTGAGTGGTCTTGTGGACCTCCTGTGATACAACTATGAAATTCTAAATTCTGCAAATTATAGATGTAATACAACCAGCACAAAATTTGCATGCATGTTAAAAATTGACATTTAAAGGAAGTTCTCAAAATCTTAAATCACACACACACACACACACACACACACGATGTTCAAATCCTGGGGGGGAAAATCCTTTGATAATGTTTGTTTTGTTGTTTGGATTATACAGAAGGAGACAAATGCTGCTTGGAGCAGAGGACAAACCAAGAGGTCAAGCTACATCTGTGAATCAGGTAAACATCAACCACAGCTACTGAGCAAATTAGGCAATCTTTCAATTCATTCTTTCAGCTAACATTTATTGAGCTCCTGATTCATGCCGGGTATGGTGCTGAATATTGAATGAAGAAAACTAGTGGTTCTTACCTGAGGCTATTACAGTGAAGAGAGGAGATAGTCATGCCTGTAACCACAACACAATATGATGAGTGCAATAAAGACAACAGGAATGTATACAAATCAGCAAGTAGAGGGAAGACGATGCCTTGGTCTACCTAGGGTAGTCAGGGAAAGCTTTTATACGATAGACATAATTGAGACATACTATCTTCCCAGTTCAGAAATAAATTGTGCTGAGCCACACCAGCTGGGCTATTTCTTGGCTTTTTGATAATGACCATTCTAACAGGTGTGAGGTGATATTTCATTGCTGCTTTGATTTACATTTCTTTGATAATTAGTGACATTGAACATGTTTTCATAGTCTATTGGGGGACTGGGACTCATAGTTTTAATTCCCCATCTTATTTACCCTGATGTCTTATTTTAAATCTTCTGACCCACTAGTAAGTTTGCAGGCATGGCCAGTGCCTATAGGGCAGGCATTGGCTTCAGCATCTGCTTACCACTCCAGATTTGTGTTCTCCCCAATTTTTTACTCTCAAGGATTTATCTTACTTCCTTGAAAGCTTAGCTGTTTTTAAAAGGATGATTATAATATTTTAAACAGAATTGTAGTTATAAATTGTTTTAGAATATTTACTCCAGTATATTAATTAGAAACTGCAGAGGAGTTTTTTATTTATTTTGCTTTTAAGATAGTATTGTCTTCATACTTAATTTCACAGGTCTCTGTACTCTTATTCCAGTTACTTCTTTTCCAAAATGGAACACACAAAAACATATTTACACAAAACAACTCAAAAAGTTTCACAGGATTTAAGTATGACTTCTTATACAAATCATGGATACCTGCTAGTCACTCATTTAATGGGAAGAAAAAAAACAAGTGTTACCATTTAAATTTGACTTTGAACTGGCTCTAATTACTAATACTACTTTCTGTAACCAAGACATTCTTTTTGTCTAAAACTTTTATTTATTTGAGTATTTGCATAATTGACGTACATCAATCTAGTGCATCTGTAGAGATATTCTACACAAAAACTTCCTATGTCATCTGCATCCGGAGTATTTGTTAAAACCCAGTAGTGGAATTTTGCCAGATTACATACAAAGAAAGTGAGACAATACTGGAGTGTGAAAAGATGGACAGAAATCAATGAATAAATGTTAAGGAAACATATTAGTTGAATTATGTATGCAACAAGCCCTGGCCAGTTTGGCTCCGTGGACTGAAGGGTCCCCGGTTCAGTTCCAGCCAAGGGCACATACATCAGTTGCAAGCTCTATCCTGGCCCTGGTTGGGATGCATGCGGCAGGTAACCAATCAACGTATCTCTCTCACACAGATGTTTCTCTCTCTCTCTCTCTCTCCCTTCCACTCTCTTTGAAAAAGCAATGGAAAAAGTATCCTTGGGTGACGATTAAAAACAAAAAAATTATGTACTCAACAAATAAACATCATCAAATACTTAATATATGTTAAGTTCTGAGGATATACTGGTAAATTTATGTCATAGCCAGGGAGACAGAAGAGTAAACATTATGAGTTTTATAATAGAAACATATAGAATACATTAGGAGAAATAGAGAAGGGTGTTCACTTACTTAGGCAAGTTTGGAGGAAGGCTTTCCAGAAGACTTATCACAAGTGGAATGAGGCGGAAAAGATGAGAAGTTGAAAGAGGACATAGGGTTCTCCTGACCAAGGAAAGAGCAAAACAAGGGCTCCGAAAACATGGAAAATAGGGTACATTTGGGAAATTATGTTATTCTATGTGTTTGAACCATAGAATACATCTGAAAGACTAGCCAGAGAAGACACTGGACAGGTAGGTAAGAGTATCCGAGTGTAGGGTATATTTTATGCCTTGCTAGAGAATTTGCACTTCATGACAGAGAGTTTCTGCAGACTCAAACAAGGCAGTGACAAGAGAGAATAAACACCTACTAGGGGATATTAATTACAACTTTACAAGTTGCTGGGTAAGGATACAAACTATAATTTTCTTTTTCTGATAAACAGGACCTCAGGCTCCAGCTGCAGCCCAGGATGCTTTCTTAAATACGTAAGTAGTTAAGGAAAATAATGTGTAATTATAAGTTAATATTTTAATAATTACACAAGTTCTATTCAACAGTGAATGATTATGTGGGATCCTGCATTCTTGTAGTTCTTCTTGGATTTAGTGAAAATTTTGTCTTTTGTTAACTCTCAGCACTAATCTTAAATAGTCAACAAAGTGAATGCTCTTCCTTCTCAATTTCCCCATCCTCATTGTGGTTCTACACTTTCCCTATATTCAGAGCCTTCATGCCACTTTCAAGCATGTCCTACCATGTCCTCACCTCTTCAGCTGGCTTTTCAGGATATGGACTTGTCCTTTTGCCGCTCTCCCCTTTCAAACATACCATTCCTTAGGCCTTTTCAGATTATTGGCTTCCTAAGGATGGTAAGTGAGGTTAATATAAGTATTAATGACTTAATCAGTTATTCCTCTCTTAAATTTATTATAGTTGCTGTATAATCCAGAATAATAACCTCTAACAATGGAAATTCCAAGCCTTTGGAAAAGGAATTTTAGGGACATGAGAGATTTTTCACTCCTCAAGCTTGGTGGTCAGCTATTCTGCTGGTGTTTACATATGGTTTTCTCAACCTTAGAAGAAAGAGACTATTATGTTAGACCTAACATTATCACCTTTAAAAAAAAGTCAATATGCCACATAAAGTCTAGGATATATACTTTACAAACTCCAAATGTCTATGAAAGTGGTTGGGTAAAGTTAAGTGGTGTAAAGTGGTGAAAAGTGACTTACTCATACCAAGACTCCTTGGAGGAAGGATTTGACTTTAGGACTGATGGACATCAGGTTGACTGACTTACTAAGGGTTCATAGGATACACAGCACTGTAATAGATGCAGAAGGAAGGAAACTGACTGGTCCAGTTTTTGGAAAAAAAAAAAGAACAAGGTGGGAGAATGATGAGCGTCTGTACAAAATGACCAGTTTTTGAATATAAAAATTTTTATTTAGTGACAATGTAAATACCTGGATCTTTATAAAAATTTTCAGAGGAAGCTTATAATAAAGTTTAATTCCTGCCTCTTCATTTCCCCCCCCATCTAAGATTATAGAACTATAGGGTTACTTGAATATTTCATAACAAATACTTTGGATACTCTTTTATTAACATTGTAGGTCAGCTAAGATGAATAACTCTGTGCATGACCTGGAGAAGCTTCATCACTCCCTGCCCAATTGACAGGAATAAAATAATTTTAGCAGCACTCACCCAGACTAACATCACGTCAGAGTACAAACAAAGCACAGCCGCCAGTATTTGCTAGTCTGATTCTGTCCATCACACATGCACACGTCACATTCTTCTTCCCCTGATTTAACTTCAGATTTCATGTCTTTACTGTGGAATCATCGGCTTCTGTTCCACTATCCACCTCCCTCTCCGCTTTTGCTTAGTTCTAATATTTCTAATGTTAATATATATTCAGAAAGCTTTATATGGAAATTTAGAGCCAAGGGAATGAAGACAAAGCCAATATGAGCAGTGGAGGTAACCAGAGTTGTAAAAATGAAGCATTTCATTTAAATATTGAGTAAGTTCATATCAGTGGGGTGGAAGATGTAAGGAGTGACCAAGTAAAGAAGGCAACAAATCTGCTGCCCTGCCAACAATGGTCAGAAATTCGAAGTGTACTTATTGGGTGGCATTAATAAATTGTCATTTATTGACATGGTTTGGAGGGGGGATATTGTGGTCAAATTAGCTTACATGACAGATAACTCTGGCAGCAAATATAAGAAAAATTGAAGGCAGAAAGCTAGGAACCAGTTCTAAAATCGTTAGTGGCCTGAACAAAGACTACATTATGGTGTAGAGAGTAGGCCCAAACCCAAAAGACTTTAAGTGGGAATTTATTTATCAAACATTGAATGAGAACCTACTATGTTCAATGCACAATGCTGGATGTTAGGCAGATACCACAAGGAACAAGTATGTGCCTGTGGGGTGAGGTGTAATTTTCCAAGGACACTGTGGAGCTGGAGAAAGGGGTTGGATGTAGACCAAGTTGAAATACCACAAAGCTCACTCTTCTTACCTAGAGGAGCTATTTCTTTTAAATAAACACATTCTGGGATGTTGAAAGCCTTTAGTTAACTTTAAGAGTTCTGAAAACTATGAAAAAATTTACCATGAAAAACATTGACTATGAAATTATTAAAAAAAAAATTTCCCAATTTACCCTAATGGAGTAATAAATTTTCAGAGCTCCTTCCTCTGCCATTTTTACTGATACCCTTTATTTGGCTATTACAGTTGCTTTCAGTGGTCTTTGTTGAAGCTTTCTGTTATTTGGTTAATTTTATTCCGAGGTCTTTGGTCTGTTTAGATCTATATGTGTGCCTTTGGGGCAGAAAGCTGATTTGAGGACAGGTGTCGATCAATACATTGGACTCTTTGAGTTCTACCTGGTGCCTACAGTAAAATGTGAAGAGAATAGAAAAATGAATATGGGAAGAGTTAGGCTGCAGAATATCTAAAAGAAGAAAACTGTGCTTAGGTTAACCTAAGAAACCATATTCTAAAAAAATAAAAGTGGCGAAAAGACAGTGACTATGTCCCTGACATCAGCTTTGATGCCCCAGGTTGCAGGCTGCAAAAAGGTACTAGTCTAAGCATGGACTCTTCTGTCAACCCCAGTTTCTGAGCTGAAACCAGTGAGGTTTTCTTTTTCTGCCAAGATTTAGGATATAATTCTCAGTCTTAATGTCTATCAGAATTGAATTTTAGGCTTTGGGAAAATACAATTTCATAATGTAAAGTAGTCACAGAAAAAGTGAAAAAGGAGTGTCAATTTTCTTTTAAGAAAGAAGCAAGAGGATAAGCGAAGGGCCCATGTTGAACCACATGAAAATCAATATCATGTACATCTGAAATCCATGAAAGTAAACCAGGACTACAGTCTTAGATATTATCTTATTAACTATTTGCTTTGTTACTCTAAAATTTTCTTTATTGAGTAGTTCATTTTATTTGTTACAATTCAGAAAACTATGTTTTTATATCCGTGCGTGGTGATATTCTAATTAGAACACACGATACAATGTTGTCATACGCAGAAAGGGCTACATATCACTGCATTGACTATGGCTAGGAACCTATGGTTTTAACCATAGTTATCAAATGACCATCCACGTATTCCCTTTCTACTATCTGACAAGAATGTGGGTGGGACTATGGGATTTGAGGTAAGGAAAGAATTATCAGAAAGTTCTGGTCAGATGCCTTGTCACCTCATGTCTTTTAGAAGACAGGAAGGACTAGCCCACCCTCTCCCTCCAATTCTATGCCCTTCCTCAGAGACCCAGGCACAGATAAGGTTGGTCAGCAGTAGAGTTTTCAGATAGATGTCTATTTATGCAGTATGTAAGATATATATTTTATTACTGCTCTTGAGTAATAAAGCATGTGGGTCAGCACAGAAGGAGGAGGGGAAATGGCAGGTAATGGGGGGGTGACAAAAATAAAGTTTATTCTTCCTTTTGAATTTCTGTAGAAAAACTCTCAGGTAGAAAGAGAAGAAACTGATCCAATGATTAGAAATTTTGGGAAAAGTTCCATAAACTTTTGACCTTAAGTAATAACTAAGTGATGACCTTTCTTGACTTTACAGACAACAGAATAACCTACAAAACTACTGGGAAAAAAAAGTATGTATCATAAAATCCATTGATAAAGCAGCATGTACAAAATGCTTTCTAATGCATCATAATAGAAAAAAATGTGAATCAAATAATGAGTAATCTATTGCTATTAGTCTCTCTCTGCTCTTTTTTCTTCTTTGATGTTTACTTTTGGTTAATTCTTGGATTTTGTAGTGGTCTAAAGTTCTTATCAAAATATAATGTTGGCCTTTCAGGAAGGGGTCTCATGGTGATAGAAGGGGCAGGGGTTTTCAGGGACCTAGCCATTATAAGAACAGCATCGGATATCACAAACCCATTCTGTCATGGGAAGCCACTAAGTGATATGGCTTTGCAGACTTGGCTGGTAAGCTTGGATGCTTGGGTTTGTCCCTAGTCTTTTTCATAGGAAGAGAGCTGGTCACTCAAGAAGGTCACATAAGAAGGTACCTGGTCACCAGTGAGCTCAGACTTGGAACAGACAGATAGGAGTGTATGTTTGTAAGTCACAACTCTGGGTCTAGTCAGACCAGCTAGGAAAGAGAAAGGGGTTGGAGGACAACACATATTCTGACATACTTTTTCACATGGACCCCTGCTCAATTCAAAGAATGTATAGCAAACACAAACGCTTTGATTCAAGAGAGTATTTCTCAGGATAATATTATAATGGAATGCAACTAAAAACTTTCACTACATAGAAAACTTTAGGAATATCTCTTTTTCATATATCAAGGTCAGAAATACTTCCTCTCACCTTGCCTAAGAATAACAATGTAGGTCTGTTGTTTATTACTTCTGATTATATGAAAAATGATATATATTGAATGTATTAGTTTATATGTGTTGTAATGGATAAGAACAATTACTTCATCTGTTAAAATTTAGATTTTATTCTCAGTGTATTCTATTTAGGACGTGATTACATGAGACAAGTATTATACAACATATGCTGTCATCCAAAATATGTGGTACAATTGTACAAAAAGTGAAAAAATACCTTTAGAAGATTAGATGATTAGAGCAGAAAAAAATGGCACCTATATATCAGCTTTGCTGCCAATTCCTATTTACAGCCTTTATGTCTTAAAAGTAATAACAATCAAAAAACAATCTACTCGTTTATTACAGGCAATAGGATTTTTGCAAGCCCAAAGTAGATTTTCAGTAAGTAGAGGTATATAGAATTGTGCAAATGCATTCTGTTTCTACTCTTGGTCCAGTTTAATCTGTAACAGTATCATTGACCTCTAAGGAAATGGTTATCCAAAGAATGTCCTTGGTTTATATTTCCAGCTCAAAATGAGAAATTCTCCCTTGCTCATAGCCCCCCTGATGCTTAAAGACTCAGTTCTAGTTTGGCGCTTATTTTCTAGCTAAGCTAATGGTTCCTTCACTGCATCATCTTTTTTCAGCCTTCCTATCCAAGACAGTTTGCACTGATACAAAGACATTCAATCTCCATAAGGCATTAACTTTTGGGTTTCTACCAAATAATTCTTAACAATTAGCTGTAGTAATTTACAGATCATAGGCTCACCCCTGCATCAGGGAATGGGGAAGAGAGATGAAATATTTTCCACCCTTACATTTTAGCCAGGCAGATGCTTCTACAGTGACTAAATGTTTTAATTACATCTGTTTTGATAAATACTTTGTTATTAATAATCTGGTATATTTTTAGAAATAGTCCAGGTCAAAGACACTATGTTTCTTCTTGCTAAGATACTTGCATATTATGATTCTAGACAGCAATTTGGTGACTTTTTTTCTTTTTTTAATAAAAACGCCATATATCTCAGCATTAAATGTTTGGGAGGGGAGAGTTGTGAGGGAACTCCCTGAAAAGTGAGTCTGAGAAAAGAGGCTTGCTCTCCAATGTTGAATCAAGTGGAAATTTATATAAAAATATTTTATGGTAGTACAGACTAAACCAACTTGATATTAATCTGAAATTCTAAATAGATTCTTTACACATTCTCTTTATAACCATGATGGTATCCAGTTATGCATTGCTTGATATAAAAAAAAAAATGTTACCCTCTATCTCAGAATAGAGTAAGTTTCTACATGATTTTCTTTTCATTCCTGCTTGCCTCCTTTCCAGGTAACTTCTGAAGAACTACATAGTATAATTCAAAATATAATGGCCTGGGTTGTGGCTACAGTGACCAGTATACTATACCCAGCCATTACAAAGTATGAAGAAAGGTTGCAAAATAATGCATACCTAGTGTCTGATGATTCTGTCCTCTCTTCAGAGAGTTCAAGTTTCTGCAGCACATGCAGCGAAGAGTTTACATATGGAAGCTACACATCTGCAACAACTAAAACATTTCAGAGAGAGCCCTGTGCTTTTGCAGTTGACGTTTCAGTAAGGCGACCACCTACACCTTCTACACCTTTAAAACCACCCTCTGCCCATGTGGAAAGAACAGTTGTTGGAAAAACGTATCACATGCAAGGACCACCCTCTGCCCATGTGGAAAGAACAGTTGTTGGAAAGACATATCACATGCAAGGACCACCTTCTGCCCACGTGGAAAGAACAGTTGTTGGAAAGACATATCACATGCAAGGACCACCTTCTGCCCATGTGGAAAGAACAGTTGTCGAAAAAACGTATCACATGCAAGGACCACCTTCTGCCCATGTGGAAAGAACAGTTGTTGAAAAAACGTATCACATGAAAGGACAACCTATAACATCTGAATGCAGATATAATAAAACCTGCAGGATATATGCATACCCTGAGCTCAGAAGTTGTAAATCTGATAGTCATCTGTTAGTATCGTTTGAAAGAGGCACAAAAAAATCTAAGGATGCTACCACTGAGACAGAGGCCTTAGAGAAGCTACAGTCTTCTGATCAAAAGGCAAAAGCTGAAATAAAGAATTTAGAGAAAATTTTTGTTAACTTTAAATGTCATTTAAAAGGGGAAACTGAATTGATTTTAGAAAGCATTTTTCAAGAAATAATGTCTGACTTAACACAGGCCATTCCCTCCATTTCTTCTGTTACTGCTGAAGTTTTTGTTGACCAAAGTGAGCCTGAAAAAAGAGACTTGCTCTCCAGTGTTGATATCAGCTCAGTAGCTTCAGAGATTGTGGAAAATATGTTTGAGAAGCTACAGTCTGCCGTTGAGAAAACATGTGTTGAGATGTTTTCACAAGAAGATTGGCCAGTTGAAGTGACACCATGCTTAACACCCACTAGAGAATATCTCACTCCACTGAGTGGAAAGCCTTTAAAAGTTTCACTGCCTTGTACTATGGAACCCATGTGTGATATTGCAGAGGATATGGTGCATGCCATTTTAGAAAAGCTGATCACCCTTGCATCTTATAAGCAAGATGAACTTCCTTACCTCGAATATGCAACTAAACTTTCCTATCAGGAAGATATGACAGACCCAACATCTATGATCCTTAAAAAAACTGAAAAAAAGAAATGTGCTCCTGAACATGATGCAGCTAATTTAATTGTTAAAGAAGAAATAAAAAATTTAATGTCAAATATTGTTTCCCAGTCTCCTTTGGTTGGCTACATAGAAGAAGCAATCAGCACTATATTAGGCTACGTACAAAATGAACTTAAAAATGAGAGACTCATTGCATCTGAAGAAACAGTAGTATTCCTCCAGCTACTTGATGATATTTTCACTCAACTACATCAGGAGCCAGTAAAAGCGGTTGCTCAAAAAAGTAGACGCTGTAGACTGAGAAATCCTTCTGACACTGAAGAAAAGTACAGACTAACTGGCACTACATTATCTAGTGGTCCTGGGTCTAGAAAACCATTACCACCTATTAATGTTCCTGGCATGGTTCTTTACACTGAAGATGAAAATGAAGAAATAGACAAAATTGTTGAAAATGTGCTCAATTCGTCTTTGAAAGATGAAAAGGCAAAATCACAAGGGCAGGACCCTGAACATTGGTTTACAAAAGGATACACTAGTTTTGAATACAAAAGTAGTAGCACACCACCCCCGAGGCCTGCTTCCCTAAGAGGCAAAGTTGCATTTTCTGATGGATTAAAGACCAAGTTACCATGTATTAATAATAAAGAAATGCTAAAGAAAAAAACCTGTTTCAGTAAAGATGTGTTGACTTTCAGCCAAGATCAAAAGCATCAGATACAAAAGGCTTCATCAAAAGAAATCAAAAGTATTTTAACAGAAGTTCTCAAGGACATATCTTCTGTTCCTCCTGGTCACTCAGGCAGCAAAACTAGCAAGAAAGCTCCAGTTCCTGTTTCAGGAAAACCTCAAGGACTGTCGCTTCAAGAATGGATAGACCAGATGTTCTCTGTGTCCGAAGTTAATACAGTGGCTCAAGAGATAACAGATGCTGTATTAAATATACTTCATAGGGCAGCAGGCTGCATCCCCAATACCACCAGAAGTTTCATTTCATCATCGGGTCATCAAACTTCTCTAGGTAGTTCTGATACCCCCGCTATGGTCAGAGAGGCGCCAAATAAAAAACCATTAAAAATATGGTTTGACAGTGAAAAGAAAATGAAATATTTATCGTCACTCAACTTAGATCCTGAAAACCCTTCCCTGTTAAAGTTTGAGGAAAGCGAACCTAAACCGGTAGATGATATTACTGATACCATCATTAACACAGTTTTTAAAAGGCTGAAGTCGCTCATTTATCCAAAATTGCAAATGGGCTTCAGACCTTCATGTGCAGAGCAATCTTCACTACACTCTCAAATTTGTGCTTACGCAACCAAGGTGGTGAACATTGTTTTGCAGGCTATCCAGAATGAACTGGAACTCGGTAAGAAAAACCCGAACCTGCAGGAAACAGGCCACACCAGGTCCCTTAGAGGTAAAGAACTGTTTGCTGGCACCGGTAAATTAGAATCTCTCGTCTCAGGTCTCAACGATGACATGATGGCATCTCCATTACTGACCTGTATTTGCGAAATGTTATCAAGCGGACATTCAGGTAGAAGCAGTAATCCAGCCCCTGCCGATAAGCCGGGGCCTTCAGCTTCACAGGGATCTGACAGTGCTGAAAAACAAAGCACTTTGCCAAGCAGGCAGGATAAAACGTCTTTTCAACAATATCTAGCTGCTCCACGTGCTCTCCATAGTGACTTCAGTGGACAAGATCTCAAAGAGAACGCCAAATTGCAAGTGTTAGATAGTATCGGGGAAACGCTGTATGAAATGTTATATAAGCTCATGGGCGCTCCTCCTGAGGGCCAGCCGTCTTGTCGTAAGCAGAAGGGAGAGAAGATGGGTGAGAATCGGCCAATGGCTACTAAACTGAAGTCTAATATTCAGCTCATTTCCAAAACAATCTTGGAATATATCCTCGCCAAATTATGCAGTGTTGACACGGACACCAGTTTTGCAAGTTCTGGAATTAAAGCTGTCTCGGAGTCTCTTGACATTGATAGCCTATCATTTAAGTCAATTATTGAGGAAGTGGCCAAATGCACTGACATCATCTCCAGCATAGTTTCCAGCATGGTCCAGGAGAGGAATAAAGACGTGGCTAACAGGGAGGCAAAAACGACTGCTCCTGGGTCTCCCAGAACAGGGAGCACGAAAGAAACACATCCAAATAAACTGAAAGCTATGGCTTCTGATATTCTTAATATGGTTTTCGCTAAACTGGAAGGATTTGCCAATGGAAATTTAGAAACTCTGGATTCTACTAGTGACGGAAATAAAAAAGGCAATCAGATGGACTTGAAGTGCGATAGTCCCAGTGTTTCCAGAGACACATGTGAAGAGTTGCTGCAGTCTGCTCTGTACCCACAGGCAAAGAAGGTATCGAGTACTATTTTGAAAGCTATTCAGACAGAGTTAAATAAGAACTCATTAGATTTAAGGACAAGTGTAAAGACCCCATCGCCTGAGAAACAAATTCTTACGGACATAGTCAATTTAATTTTAGATGCAGCATCCTCAGATGTGTTTAATGAAACTGAACCTGAAGAAAGAGGCATGGAAACTTACCGGTACAGGCCAACCTATGGAAACTTTCTTCCTGGAGGAGCGGAATCAGATTCATTTCTAGACGACGCTGCACCTGCAGAGAAAGAAGTCAGTGGAGAGAGAACATTACCAGGAGGAGGCAGAGAGGCAGATTCTCTTAAACCATGGGTTCTAGAAAGGACCTTAAACAAAATTCAAGTGAAACTGAAGGAACCACAGAAATCTCCAGTCGTTCCCATTATAAGACATATTTTGAAAGAAATTTTTCAAAGTGCTTTGGTCAATCAATTAAATGTGCTTTCTCTCTCCCACTCGCAGTTAAGTGGCATCCCTCAAAATGTTGATGAGCCGATTGCTCCAACATCTGTTCCATTTGTAGATAAGATGACGGGTCCTTTAGTGTCTGAAGCAGATGTAACCATAGTGGTAGATAATGTTGTTACAACCGTATTTCACAAACTCTATTCAGCTGCCATGACACAGAGAAGTGCAAGTCAAAATAGGTATAAAACCATCACCCTTTCAGCAAATGTTTCTTTTCATGTACCAGCCTATGGAGAAAAGTCCTCTGTTACTGTGCTGGACAAGAATCCATGTACTGTTCAGTCCAGATTCAGTGCTGACAAACAGGCCAAAATAAATGTAGCTGAAGATATTGTACAGGAAATATTAACAAATCTAGAAACTTTTGCTACTTACAAAGTAAAATCTCTCTTTTGTCCCCAAATCAAGTTCACAGTTCCAATGCCTTTACCTGTTCAGCAGGATAAGAGTATATTAAGCAAAGCATTATCAGCCAAAGGTTTATATTCTGATGATCCATTTTCTAGCTTCTCAGTGAATCATATTATGTCAGAAAAGACCAACTCATGCCAACTCTCTTTAAATAAATTAAATACACATGCAACAGAAGTAGCCAGAAAAATTTTACAAGGAATCAAATATGAGTTAGAAAAAGAAAGGGAAAGTCCTTTCTTAACTCAAAACATTGTGGTTTCTGAAGCTATTGCAAGTCAAGTTGTTAATACAGTGTTAGATATTGTATCATCTAAAAGCAAATGTGACAAAAATGATTCTGACAAAGAGTTTAATTCAGGTGAGCAAGAAGGCATTATTGAAAAGATGTTTAATAAGACTGAATATCGAAAAGAACTTCAGTTTCAAATACACGATATCATTGAAGGCATCTTATGTGATATTTATGAAAAAACACTGCATCAAAATAATCTCTCATGTACCATGCCCACTCTGAAATATAGCAGAGCTGGTAAACATTTTGGAGCAAATGCTGAAATGTACATTGAGGGTGCAAATAGGGTTATTCCAAAACTTTCAGTTCCTAAATCAGATGTCATTTTGATATCCAATGATATAGTGGATATTGTCCTTCATAATCTCAGTTCTACTGTCATGCTTGGCATAAAAGCAGAGGATCCTACTTCTGCAAGATTGCCCCTTACCTTTTGTGATATGTTTCCACAAGCAGAGTGCCAACTGCCTCCTCTCATGGGGTCAAAAAGTGAAAGAAAAACAGAGTGGTTTTCTTCCTCAAGAAATATTAAATCAGCTTATGCTGTTGATAGGCAGATAACTGTAGTAGAGAAAGAAGACACCAAGAAGTCTTCTCCTGACCCATGTGAGGAAAATGCTCACTTCATCACCAAAACTATTTTTAATCAGCTAGAATCTTTTGCCACAAAAAGAATAGATTCGTTAATTACTCTTGCTTTCCAGCCTAAAGAAAAGTCACTTGTTGACCCGGATCTGGAAAACTGCAAACAGGAGGACAGCATTCTTCATGAATCAAGCCAAACAGAATCAAATGTCAATGTCCTGAAATTATCAACTGAAACTATTGTCAGCCAGGAACTCACAGATTCCACTTTTGCTAGTTACAGACAAAACCTTGGATCCACAATTCATTTATCACAGGCTAGTCTTAAGGAATATGCTGATGACATTGCCAGTGTCATTTTGAAGCTTATTAAAAGTGACTTAGACCTAGAAATCCAAAAGGCATGCCTATATTCAAATAATATTTCATTCCAAGAAAACATCATTGTGAGTGAAATTGTCAACAATACCTTAAAGATTTTAAATGACAAAAGATCTGTAAAGGAAATTAGTTTTTACTCAAAAGATAATCCCAACATATTTTCACAATTAGCTATACCAAATGAAATACTGTTAGGACAAAGAGAGCAGGAAAAAACCACCGAGTTATCTCTGTTTTCACAGTATCCATTAGAACAAAACCAGACGCCATTGGAAAAGGAAAGCCAGAGAATTGTTTTGGAAGAAATATTTATGAGAAACGGAAAATCAAAAGAAAAAGAAAAAACTGCCTTGCTCGGTCCAGTGAAAGAAGTTTTAAATAAAGTGTATCAACAAATAATAAAAATCAAAGGCCATTTGCCTCCATTTAATGAAATTTCCTACTTTGTATCTAATTCTAAAATTAAAACATCAGACATAACACAAGAAAACTTTTTTCAATCACATATTGACAGTGTAGCAAATGACATAGTGGAAATTGTTTTGGGGGAGATGTACGCTGTGGTTGTGACACTGTTATACGAAAGTAACAAAAAAGAAGCTTGTGACAACAGTGACACCTTACCCAAGAAACCATCATGGGCCAGAGAAACTAAAGCTGGAAAAGGAATTAATTCCACTAGATGTGTGATACCACAGGTTTATCCTTACCCAGGCAATCAAAACCTCTCTCTATTAGAAAACAGCTTTCTGCAATATTCACCACTACAAGTGGGGAAGGATTTAGTCCAAATGGTTCTCAACAAGATCACAAATTTTGCTTCATTTCACCTAGAAGAGGCTTCATCTCCTGAAGGATGTTCTGATGAGTTGCAACCTCTAAGGCTACACAGCTTTAACGTGAACCCTAAGGGCAGCCTTCAGTCAGGTTTTAAAACAAGTTTAAAAACAAAACCAAAAGCTACTTCTTTGCCCAAATTTAAAACAAAACCGCACCTAGGACCTAGTGGTGCTAAGTCCAGAAGCAAGACCAAGTTAAGTCCTGGAGAGAAGACTTCAAAAGACAGCCAGTCCAAGACTGCCATTGGGCTGCCGCACATCCTGACAACAGGAGATGCCAAAAGTTTACCAGGAACGAAACTGCCTACTTCAGACCTGAAAATGTACGCCAAGCATATAATAAGTAATATCCTGGAAGCAACTGTGAAAGAATTTGAAAAGGTGAAGCAGATGAGAGCAACGGTCAATGGGAACACTTTACCATTTGATCAAATCATGGCAGCGAATAAAATAGTTAATACAGTTTTACAAGGATTATATGCTATAAATAACTACGATTTGGCTCATCCGATCGAATTCTCACACCTGGATAATCTCAAACATTCACAGGGGAATATAGGTACAGAGTGTCTTGCCAAAACACAAGCCTGTTTTTACTTGGAAAATGTTTCCTCACAGCTAGAACAGATTTTCCCTAAAGACAGCATATTTAAAAAAATGTTTGACAAATGGCAGGCAGAGTCAAATGACATGGAAAGTGAAAAATGTAACTTATTGATGATAGCCGAAAATGTTTTGACTGTAATTTCAATAAAATCAAAGGAATTAGGATATTCTCTTTCACTTTTAAATTTGCCACATCTTGAGGATTGTGAAAGTAGGTTCCATAAAGGTTTTAGAGAAGCTTCTACTAGAGCTGAAGATACCAAAGCACAAATCAATATGTTTGGAAGGGAAATCGTTGAAATGCTATTTGAAAAATTACAGCTGTGTTTTTTGTCCCAGATGCCCACCCCAGATAGTAAAGAAACTCTAGCAAGTAGAATAGAATACACTACTAAAAGTAAATACAGTTTTCCAACCAAGGACATCCTCAGCACTGTACCAATCTATTACATGAACACAAAAGACCAACTTTCTTTGGGTTCTACCAAGCAAATTGTTCTAGAAATTGTAGAAAGGGTTTTAAACATGTTAGAGTCATTTGTAGACTTACAGTTTAAACGTGTCTCTAAACATGAATTTTCTGAAATAGTGAAAATGCCTATAGAAAACTTTTTTCCTCTGCAGCAGAGAGTATTAAGCAAAAAGATGTTACCAGAATTACAATCCCTGAAAAAGTTGGCCGATGAATCCAAGTCAAGTGCTGTTATTTCCAAGGAAAATGTCCAGAATATTTTTCTGCAGGTTCACTCATTCCATTCAGAATTACTTACATATGCTGTTAATATCATCAGTGACATGCTTGGAATCATTAAGAACAAGCTAGACAAAGAAATAAGCCAAGTAGAGCCATCAAACAGCATATTGAATGAGAACATGGTAGCAAGCGAGATCATTGGCACACTGATAGACCAATGCACTCATTTCAATGAGTCTCTGATCCAAACCCTTCCAATGGAAAGTTTGTTCCCAGAAGTGGAAAATACCTACATTGTTAATCAGGTTGAATTGGCAACAAATATAAAAATTCCCAAGCCAAAGTTAAAGGGAGTTCGTTTTGGGAATACTCCAGAGATTAGTGTTCCTGGTTCCGTGTTTTATCCTGAAGAAGATATGGAAAATAATTACAAGTCTTCATCAAATGTTTCTGCATATACCAGAGCCTCTGTGGAAGACCCAATTAAAAGCTCAGAGCCAGTGGAAAGGCCTGATTCAGTAAATATGCCAACATCCTCTGGAAACAAGTTACCAGACTACGGTACAAGGGAAGGGCTATTTGATCAAGCCATACAAGGGAAGAGCGTCCTTCCTGAAGGCAGTGTCTTACAAAAAATGTTTAAAAGGGTGAATGAATCCACAGAAGAATCATTAAAGCAAAGTCTGTCATTCATAGAAATGGGAAAAGGTAAAAATCCAAAAGTGTTTCATTATGGGACCCTCAAAGCAGCTGGTGGGCCTAACCAAACTCAGACAACTGCTTCTCCACTCAAAATATGTTTAGCGGCAGAAAATATTGTCAATACTGTGTTGTCCAGCTATGGTTTTCCCAGTCAACCTCTGATTAATGAAAGCATGGAAACAATGAAGCCATTTTTCATATCAAAGCAAAACCCTAGAGGACAGAAGGAGAAGAAAACTTTGCTTGGAATGTGGGATGAAAGAATCAGCTATCTACCTGGAGACGGAAACACAAACTCTGAAGCCAGCAGGGGAGATTTTTCTTTATTGCAAAAATGGGAAAATAAGAGGTACCCAAAGATAAAGGCTCTGAAGGAATTTGAAGTCATTACTTTTGCCGATCACGAACTGGGTCCAAATGAAATTAATTTGGTAGCAAGACATGTAACCACATGTGTGGTCACATATTTCCAGAACTTCAAAGCTAGAGGTAAGCAAGAGATAACTTACTTTAAGAGTTGGCATAATTTAGGGGGGGAAAATAGCTTTGGAGCTGGGGTATTTAGTACTTCTTAATGTATCAGGACACTAAAAAAGAAAAGTGAAACATTCACATGGTTTGAACCTGAAAGGGCCTGTTGTTCAGTTTCCCGTATCTGCAGATGAGAGAAAATGGGACTATATTAAAGCAGGGTTAAGAATGAGGTATGAGTTCCAAAGAGCTTTTAAAGTTCTTGTGCATGACTTCTTTATACCAAAGCCACAGGTAATTGATTGGAGGTTAGTGATTCATCTTTTCAAGGTGTAGTTGGCGTCGCTGCCGTTATTAGTCACAGTCTGTAAGAGCAGTGGTGTTAAACATCTGGTTTTGTTTGCACTGCAGTATCCTTAAATTCCTTTTAGGGTAATACTCTAAACATACTCTTACAATGATATTCTCACTCTCTTTCTAAGAATGCTTATCAGTATATATTAGGTTGAGCCACATGTAATAGCCATTTTTGTATGTCCAAACCTGTTTGCTATTGGCAATTTCATAAAATCAAATCTAATAATACTGCAATAGCCCTGAACTGGATCAATAATTCCAGTTACCAGTAAGCTACATTACCAGTCCAGAGATATCACTTGCCCAACATTCAAATACAAGAGCACATACTACCAGTCCTGACACCTGCAAGAAAAGGTCATTTTCTTTCTTAAATCTGGCACTTTTTTTTCAAAGCGAACAACTGTATAACTGCAGCTGCAAGCTCATAAACAAGCTTTCTCCAAGCATAGCCTAATTGAACTTAACAGAGAAAAACAAAACTAAAAAAAGGGGATTCATGATCTCATCCCATTGGTATCTGGCTCTTCTATCACATCAATTCTCTATCCTCAGACATCTCCAAGGGCCTTCCAGTGATCTCACTCATGTCCCTTCTTTCAGGTGGAATATTCCTTCCTCACTCCTTTCACCTAAATATGGGCAAATCTTGTCAATCAGCCAAAGAAAAGGCTGGTCTGATTCCACATGCAGGGGGATAGCAGATGATGAGTTCTGAGGCAGTTCTGAAAAACAAGAGTGTTGCTCTGGCCACCACTCCAGGAAGCTGGCCATCTCAGCCAGATGTATGATTTGCAGTAAATATGTTGTCGAATGGAGGAAAGATTAGAGTCCTAAGCCTGGCTGGCTTGGCCCTTCCATTTTTGTGGCAAACTGCAATGTAGGGGTTAGAGTGCTACTGACATAGTCATGTATTCCTTACATTTCTGGAGTTAGCACAATTTTATTCCAGTCAAGTTCTTATGGGAACATAACTCCTTAGTTTCCTAAGTAATACATAGCATAGCATTAAAGGTTTTGACTAAAAATATTTCTTCAATAATTATATGAGGTCCCTATAGATCACTGCAGACATGCTCAGATATAAAACACAATTTGAAAATCATTTTTCTGCCCCAGAATTTCTGACTTCTTAGAGCCCATAACCATCTAAGCAAGAGAGATATCGGCACTTGACTTAGAACATGAATTCTTCAGGGTTGTTTTCTCAATGTTCTGGCTAAAATTAAGATTCCACAAGGTGGGAAATAAATATCGGGGGCGGGGGACACATTTCTTTCTTGACTAAATTTTTCTTTCTCTTTACTGAGGTGTTCCAAAGGTGAAAATCACATGTAAATAATTACTCATGTATTGAATTTTCTGTATTTCTCTTAATGCATGCTAAAACTTGTGCTTTCTTTTCAAAGTGTTCAGTGAGAAGATGTCTATTGTTTCGACCCTGTCAAAGAAAACCTATGAATCAGAACAGCGCCTAAGAAGCATCTACAACGATTCTTCACTTTATCAACTTTGTGAACATCTCACTGAGTGTGTCATATGTCATTTAATTTTAAGCATTTCTGACAGCACCCAAGACGGTAGAGAAAGAGAGAAAGCACAGGAAAGCCAGAATTCAGGCTTTAACAAGATTATTTCAATTGAATCTCAAGTGTTTGAAAACAGGTCACTTTCTATTGGAGAACTTGCTTTAAGTATTTCTGAAATCATTATTAAAATCCTTTTTAACAGTAACATTATAGAGGCTGCCACTCTACAGCAGATGTTTTCTTTAAAAACAAAGTACATTTACTGCCCAGAAGTAGCTGCTGCTGACTTTAATGATCTCTTTCAGGATCTCTTAATAGGAGTGATTCATGTACTGTCCAAAGAAATAGGAATAACTCATCACATTGAAAGCAGTGGAAGAAATAAGTCATTTTCCATGATTAGAGGCAATAGTGTGCCCATTTGCAACAAAACAAATACCATGAAAAGACAGACAGGCCGCAGAAACTGGGAATCATCTACTCACCAAAATGAACATCTCATTCAAAAAAATAAATTAAATTATCTGGCATCTAAGTTAAAGAGTCTAGTTAGCAGTCTAAAAACTCGTGAATCCAAAGAAGTAGTTGATAAAGTCTTTAATATTGTTTTAGATTTATTTTTACCCGATGAACACCTAGGTGAGGTTATGGATTCTGATAAAAAAGCAAGAAAACCTTTATCATCTTCGAATGATCAGCAAAGTAATAGCCTACTTGTAAATAACTTGGGGCTCACCCCCAAATCAGTTCTTCTTCTCAATATCGTGTGTGAAAAGCTTATTAGGACACTTCTGGAAAAATGCACAAGCAATGTCTTTCTCGATAACGGCCCTCTTTCTGATGAAATATCAGCAGAAGAATGTCAACTTTTAAAAATACTTCAAAGTGTAGAAGATAAAGAATTTGGTTATTGTAAGGGAGTGACGGACTGTGAACAATTTCAAGGAGATTATATGTCAGACCTTTTGGAAAATCTAGCAGAAATGGACCAAGATTTCTTGTCTTCAGACTCTATGCTTACTATTATTTCCCACAGCTTGGTTAAATCATTGATGGACAAACTATGTCAGAGTACGCAACTCCTCCAAAGTCCACCTACTGCAAGCAAGCATAGAACAAGAGAAATACAGCCTAGTTTTATAAAAGCAAAAAGGCAAGAATTAGCAGAATTAGGACATGCTAAAGGTTCTGTGGGATTCACGAGCTATGATGGCCATGCTTTGACAGGATCCCTGAATAATCCCAGTGTGGTTAGCTCCAAAATACAAGCACCATTTGGCAAGAAGTATTCAGTATATCCCTCTTCTGTGTCACCTCTTAAACGACAGGAAACGAAGGCTATGGGTACACTAGCCATCCATAATAAGCTCTATCTGGGAAATAGGAATACAGGGGTTTATTCGGCCACATTCTTGGAGGAAATAATTTCAGAACTGTTTTTTAATCTCTCTATTTCACTGTGGGGTGAAAATGAAAACATTACTGAGGCCTGGCTTACTAAGATGAATACATTATTAGTCAACAATGTAGTGAATGAGTTTAAAAAAGCACATGTCACTGTTTTACGGAATGCTGAAGAAAGTCTGTGTTTTCCACCAGTCCAAAAAGAAACTGTTAGTAGGATTGTTGACTCAGTTTATTATGATGTTTTACAGAAATACAAATTGAAAGTGACCTGTGGTGGTAATCTGGCATGTGACAATACCTCAATAGCAGCACAAATAACTAACGGCATTTTATTAGAGATTTTAGACTACCGACTCCCATGTTGCTTCAGGGAGAGGCTCATGCCTAATTCATATTGCCCTCTCAAAGCTGAACTTATTCTACAGAAACTACAAAATAACCTGAGAAAGTTTGCTTCCAAATCCAGGTCTTTGACAGGCTATAGCACCAGACTGCCACACTCATTTTTAGAAGATATCATCAGAAGAGTTTTATCTCAACTCATTGCTCCACCTAATAAGTCTTCCTCTTTGGGAAAAAACTATGTCATGAGTGCAGATTTTAATGAAATGTCTAACTGTATAACAAATAAGGTCATATCAGCCATTTCAAAACATAAAATTTGGTTCACTATATGTGATAATCAACATCTATGTGCAGGAAAAAACCTCCAGAAGATGGTGGATTCTGTTTACAGTAATATTATGCAAACATCTGACTCTCTTGTTTCCATACAGAAAGGTATAGTGAGCCGAAGCCCAATTATGGTTGACCGAATAGCCAGTTTTATTATCCAAGAGATTATTGAAAATCATCTTCAACCATTTTTGTGTGAAGCAGGTCTGCCTCGTCCAAGCACTCCCCTGGATGCAATATCAATCATGGTTAAACAGGTGCTCAATGAAGTCACAGACTCCCATAGACCCAAGATGCCATTACCCTTAGGTATTTACCCTGATATATTCATAGGGGAAATTGTTGCCAGACTTTTATCAAAGATTTTCAGTTCAAAGCATAACACTGAAATTGAGCTGGAAAACATGACACAAAAAATAGTAAAGTCAATAAGTAACCATTTTGACAAAGCTAAAATTCACATGCTATGTGACAGCAAAGAGGAGTCTCGCCCCTCTGTCGATACGGACATTGTGGATGAACTGGTCACCTCGGTTTATAGCAGTGTTTTAAAACAGCATGGGCTAGACCCTGAGGTTGGTAAAGAGTCTGAAGACAGTGAGATTTTTGTGGAAAATATTACCAATTTAATTGTAGCAGCTATTTCAGATTACCTTCTTCATCCACTGTTTTCTGGGGATTTGTCATCTTCCAGTTCTATTTCCACGGCTGAGAATATTGTTCAGGACATTATGAGTAACATCGGTAAATCTACCAAGCCAAGTCAGAGTTTATCTCCATACAACACCTTGCTGCCATACACATTTTTAGAAGACATGATCAGAGTACTTTTATCTAGGATCTTTTCTTCTGCATCCAACACTGTTCCAAACACAGAAACTCTAAAAGATAGGTCAAGAGTGAATTTCAATGAAATTGCTTCAAATATAATCAGTGATATTAGAATGAAAATTTCTCAACATGAAATTCAATTTTCAAAAGATGAAGAAGAAACCAAGTTTGTTTATTCAGAAGATGATGCTCAGCATCTTGTCGACTCAGTATTCAAGAATATTTTACAAAACTCTGAGTCTCAAGAATCAGTTGAGCAAAATATCACAAGCAGCGATGATGCTCTTATTGATAGAATAGCAGGTTTTATCATTAAACATATTTGTCAACAACATCTTCTGCCATTTTTGAATCGAAAGGCATTGCCTTCATCATCAGACACACATCTTGACAATGAGAGAAGGCAGTGGTTTCATACCAGTGTTTATTCTTCAACTTTTTTGGAAGATGTGATCTCTGGAGTTTTAAGCAAAATATTCCACAGGGCGTTAGGCATTGTACAAACAAAATCAGTAAGAGATTCAGAAGGTAAACTTTTGGATAAAGCTGAAAACCTCATACGCTTGATAGCAGAGGAATTCGCAAAAGCCCAAGTTAGTATTCTAGAGAATGCCGAGGAACGACTGTGTTTGCCTCCAGTGGGGAGAGATGCAGTCAAAAACATTATTGACATGGTGTTCAGCAATGTTTTGCAAGAATGTGAAATGGACATAACGCCTAACAATGATTTTCTAAATGATACAAAGACATTGGCAGTGAGGATAACTGAAATCATCCTGGCCGAAATTTACGATTTCCAAATTCATCCAAATATTATAGGAAAGCTTTCTTTTAAGCCACAAGGCAAACTAAATGTTAATGTTTTGACAGAGAGAGTTCAATGTTACATTACTAAATCAAGGTTCCAAAGACAGGCATCAACAATGTATACTACCATGTTATCACACACACACTTGGAAAAAATAGTCACTCAACTTCTCTCTCAGGTGAGTCCATTGGCCTTCGGTACAGAATGCACGGATTCTTCCCAATCAAACTTAAGTAATACCATCATAAAGCTTATAAATGAAATTATGTTAATAATTTCAAAGCATGCAATATGTATTACTAAACATGGCAATGAAAAACAAAGTATGATTTCAGAAAAAAATATCAAGTCTATGGTTGATTCCATTTGTGCCAATCTTTCATATTCAGATCTATACCAGTCTCTTACAAAAGATAAAAAAGGGATAAGTAATATACCTGCTTCAAAAATAGCAAGTTTTATAATAAAAGAAATATTTAACCATCATCTGCAGTCATTTTTATCTGGAGATAAAACTTCCCTTTCAGCTACAGTAGATCAAAATGATAAAGAGAAAGCAGAAGATCCTAAACAAAGAGAGTTGTCTTTCATTGTGAACTCAGCTGTCTTTTTGGAGGAAGTAATTGCTGAGCTTTTATGTAAACTCCTTTACGCATTCTCCCATAATGTCTTGGCTGCTGAAAAGCCAGATAGAGTAAAAGTCAAAATTACTGGCATTGTGACAGCATTGGTCAGGTCAATTGTTCTGGAGTTCGCCGCATCAGAGATTTTAGTTGCAGATTCTTTCAATAATGACATGTGTTCTTCAGAAAAATATAAAGAAATGGTTCAAACAACAGTGAACCTAGTTTATGAAAAAATATTGGGTGAATATAAATCTCTGATTCAAGTATATATGGCTATACAAAGCGACCCTACTCATTTTGGAAGGAAAATATATCATTTGCTCTTGGAGGAAATTTATGATCATCAGGTGCAGTCGCTAGTGTCAGGAGGACTGGCAGCCTCCTCCTACGCTTCCCTTCAGGCTGACAGCATCATCAGGAGCGTGCTGAGCGTCATCGGGAAGGGGCGCCACGGCCCCCCACCCTGTGTCACTGTGCTGCCCTGCTCCCTCTTACAAGACATCATTTCCAAGCTCATAGCGCATATGTCCCCTTCGGCCTCCCCTGAAAGGGAGCGAAAAGCGGAGGGCGTTTCGCCAGATGAGCAGTTCGGGGCTGCGGCCTCAAAGCTGACTGATGAAATTCTCACAGAGATTTCTGAACACGAGATCCGTCTTGCCACGGCAGAAGAGAACGCAGAGAGTGCACAGTTAGAAGCGATCGAGAATTTGGTTGACTCTATATGTAATAATATCTTGAAAAAATCTGAATTTCAAGCGGAAGTGAAAAAAGAGGCAGGCAAAAAAGGAGGCTCGTTCCTCAACAAAGTAGCTGGTTTCATCATGAAGGAAATCATGGATCATCACCTGAAGCCATTTTTACATCGCCAAGGACCCTCTTCTGGTCATTCCGACCATGTCTCTGTACTTACTAAACCCATTAAAGAAAAGACTCAGACTTCTCTGTATTCCGCTAGATTTTTAGAAGATGTAATTGTTGACCTTGTCCGCAAATTTTATTCTCTCCTAAGTATTGCTGAAGATTCTAAGAAAAAAGAAATGCCAGAGACAGACGTTGTGAGGTTGGCTCTAAAATTTGCCAACTCTCTGGTGGGAGAATTTAGGAAAAGTGACATTAAAGTTCTACCAAATGCTGAAGAAGTGTTCGCTTTTCCACCAATTGATAAAGAGACAGTTGATAAGATATCCAACTTTGTGTACGATCAGTTCATAGGAAAGTATGACTCCACTGAAATTCAGAAGGATGAGAAAAGTAGCAGTCTAATAGAAACAATCGCTGCTTTAGCACAGAAGGCAATCTCTGCTTTCAGGATCCAACCCCTTTTTTCAGGAGACTGGTCTTCTGCCTTCTTTTCATTTCTAAATCCAGACAACGTCACCCAAAGGGTTCAGCACCTACCACAGAAAACCCCTGCACAGATTAACACGTGCTTAAAAGGACACCAACCTACTTTTCCAGAACAATCGTATAAACACACTTCTCCAACCTCAGACCAGAAAAATGTGCTGGACACTTTGGAAATAGACAGAGGTGAAGCGAGTAGAAAGAAAAGTTTCCAAAGTGAGGCGACATCAATTAAAAAAGGCGATACGCAAGATCAGAAAGTTACCTCTATAATGAGGACCATGAAATACGGCATGGTTAACCTGCTAGCAGGGTCCGCTGCAGGTGTGGCAAATAAAAAGAGAGAGAATGAAAATAAAATCGCAATTTCAATTAAAGAATGTACTGAGAATGTGCCAAAAGTTACCTCTCCGGCCACTGGTGTGAAAAGTACAGACACTCAGACGTCGGATGTGAAGGTAACGCTTAAAAATGACGAAGCTGAGATGAAGCACAAATCAGCTTCACAAGATAAAGAGAGGCGAGGCAGTGGGGCACAAGCACAAATCCCAGTAGCTCCTGATGATACAGAGTGTAAGGAGGAAACAGTCGAACCAGATTCTGAAATAAATGATGAAAAGAAGACTGGCAAAACAGGAGGAAAGTTATTTAAAAAAGAAGGCGAGCCCTTTCAGTTATCTATGACACCCAAAGCGAGAAATGCAGGGACCACAGTGGAGAAAACAGTGACACTAAAGCCAAGCACCGAGGAAAGAAAAGACATTCCACCTCTCGTAGATGTAAATGAGAAACAATACTCAAATTATGAGTATGTTCAAAATATCATTGAAAATATTTATGAAAATATCTTACCAACAAGTGCTTCTCCGGTATCAGGAGATAATTCAAATATCCAACATCCCCCAAGTGATACGGTTCATGTAACTCAAGAGGTTAGCAAGGATTTTGCACCATCTGGTTCAGTAAAGGATTTATCCCGCTCAATTAATGAAAATCTCCCTGACAAAGAGAAGGAGGAAAAAAAAGAGAGCGCGAGAGAAAAAGAGAAAAAACAAGAGAGAGAAAAAGAGAAAGTGGAAGTGAAGGAGATTAAAAAGGAACCCAGTGAACCAGACAGTCCTCAGTTCACACCAGAACATAAACCTGGAATTTTTCCAGCTAAATTTTTGGAAGATGTTATCATCGAAATGGTTAAGATATTGATCTTTTCTACCTCACCAGAAACACAAAGACATGATAAATGTCAAAATGCAAGCGACGGTCAAAATCAAGCTGAACTCTATGACACAGCTATGAAGCTGATTGATTCGTTGTTAAAGGAGTTTTCCGAAGCTCAAATTAAGGTATTTAGGCCAGATAAAGAAAATCAGTTTTTTCCACCTGTAGATAAAGTGTCATCAGTTCCTAAAGGACCTCTTGAGCATAAAGAATCAACTACAGGTGAGGCATCATTTGACATTAAGAAAATAACAGTGGATAAAATGCCACATATGCACGAAGTGACTAAAAACTTCCCTCTAAATAAGATGTCTCTCTTGGAGAGACTACCAGCAATCAATACAACATTGGTTAGCAAAGTTGTTCATTCCTCCGTGTGCAATATTTTGAAGGATTATAGATCTCAAGACTCCATCTGTAAGAATATAAAGAGCAATGGGGAAGATTTAGCAAGAAGACTGACGAGTGCAGTGATAAATGAAACTTTTCAACATCACCTTAACTTGGCCCTTTCTGATGTGGTTCCAGCTTCAGCATGTTTGCCTCTGGAATCTAAGGATGTTGTTAAAAAGATCCAAAAGGTGGCTCGAACAGCCAGCAAAGAATGCCAGACATCATCGCCATATACCATCATGCTGCCTCATGAATTTTTAGACAATGTGATTTCTGCTCTTCTATCTAAAATTTTCTCAATAGTATCCAAAACCAAAGCAGAAACATCGGAGGGCAACTGGCTCACAGAACTAGACCTCCTCCAAATGAAGTTATTAAGTACAGTCACAACAGAGATTTCCAAAGACAAAGACATGATTATTCAGCATGTGGAATCCTTACATCCCAATGATGATGAAATTATTCAATTAGTGGTCCATTCTATTTATAACAATCTCTTGTCACAGTTTGGATCACAAGAGATTATACAAAACTGTGTAGCCAGTGGGTGCAGAATCCTCTCAGAAACCATAGTTGATTTAGTTCTGCGGGAAGTGGCTGGTAATCAGCTGCAGAACTATTTTTCTGGAGAGCTAACTCCAAGTCAGTGTGCAGAAGTTGACAGCATTATTGAAAATATTCTTAAAGATGTTATCCACACGACCGATGCTCTCCAGCCTCAGCCATCACATGCTCACAGGCTGCATTATAACATAATAGAAGAAGTTGCTGTCAAATTTTTATCAAAGCTCTTATCTGTGTTTCCCAAAGTAGATAAGGAAAGGAACAAATCTCTAGAAAATGAAATGAAAAACATCATCTCAAAAATATTAAATTCAATACAAGAATTTATCTCAAAAAGTAAGATTAAGCTTATACCACCAGCCAAGGAAGTATCTACTGTACCTTTAGCTGACAAGAAAACTATTGAAAAAGTAGTCAATTCCGTTTATACCAGGGTTTTAAACCACTCTGGCTCACATACCTCTATATTCAAAGATTTAATGGGAAAGAGCAATGTCCTCTCTGATATAATAGGATTTTTAATGGTAAAGGAAATTTCCAATTCTGAATTCCAACCTCAAGTAAAGGAAGACGTATCAAGCTCAGAATTAGCTCTGGAAGCTGTCAAAATTATGGAAAAAGTGGTCAAAATTGTTGATGAATTTAAGTCCCAGGAAAAGTCTTCATCCAGAAAAGATTCTATGTTAGAAGCCAAATTTTTAGAGGAAGCATTGGCCTTGTTCTTGGCCAAAATAGTAAGGTTGCCAAGTGCCTCAAGCAAGGATGCCAAAAACATATCAAAGCCCGAGTTACATAAAATTGCATCTCAACTGACAAAATCTGTGACAGCCGAAATTTCCAAAAGTAACATTAGTCTTGTTGCTGCTGAACCTGAAAAAGAGCTTTTAAATCCAGAAAGTATAGAAATTATTTCCCAAGTTATTGACTCTATTTATAGTAATGTGCTGCTACAATCTGGAACCCACAAAGACCTTTACCATGATATAAAAGGTAAAAACAGAGTCTTCCCCAAAAAAGTGGCTAGTTTAATCATTAATGGAGTTTCAAACATTCCAATAGATACAGAGAAGTCAAAGGATCCAAATGCCGATCTCTTTGGAGATCTAGACGTTAATAGGATTGTTCAAAAGGCACAAGAACACGCTTTTAAAAGGATCCCTGACAGACAGAAAGGAGAGTCAGGTCAAGATTCAAGTAAAGAGGAAATGCCTATTAAAATAGTCCCACATATCGGGAATAAACCAATCAAAATAGATCCAGACATTGTTGCAGAACACTTAGCAGTAATTTCTGTAAAAACTGAACCTCTTGAGAAACTTCAGATGGAGTGTTTGAAAAACACCGGGCACAGCATCGCAGAACTGAGAAGAGCATCAATAATTGGGAGAAGTGGCTCATCGCCAGAAGCATCCAATGCGGAAAACGTAAAGAAAGAAAGACGTACCTCATTGAATAGGACAGGACGGCTGGATATAAAACCCTTAGAGGTAAGTGGAAAAGCAGCCCTGAAAAAGCAGGTGAAGCGTGAGACGAGCTTGTTCTCTGACTCTCTTCCTCAAGTAGATAGATTAGAATGCTTTCTGCTACTGCTGCTGCTGTCGTCCGGCCCAGCAGGAGAATTGGTTGTACTGGTTCATCCATATAAGTCATATGACTTATTGGGACTTGCCATATCTGTGACTCCCTCTAAAGGCTCGTGTTCCTAAAACAATCAGTTTAAACTGACTTCAAAAAAAAATAGAATGGGAATAGAGGGACATACCCTTAACAGTAAAATCAAGCTGGATACAATTATAATCTTCGTTTGAAGGTTCAGGAGAAACACAATCTCATATAGTTCCTGTAGTTCTTGTTGTAGATAACAAAAGGTGTTCAAAAGGGCCAGATAGAATATTAGGATATACATGAAGTTTCAAAAAAACTCAAAAATAGTTTTAATTTCTCAAACTTAAAGCTTTACAGCAGTAGTAATCTTTTTACTTTTAGCAACATTTATCAACAAACATTAGACCATGAACTCTTGGAGTATACTTGTTTCTTATGATTCCACTTTAATTAGAGTAGCCTTTTTCAATTTCTCCTATACTCCAAAGAAGTAGCAGTTCTGCCTTCTTCTATCCTTTCTCTAGATCCGGCAGCCCTAATGCCGCTGCTTTTATGAACCCTTACTATAGACCCAGCTCTGCCTTGCAGCTCCATACTCAGGCCCCAGATATGTTAAACTAATTGGGACTTTAAATTGCCAAAATGATGTCCTTGTTACAAGAAAACTATACCACTGAGGACAAAGGGATTGTCTGGACAGTGGAATTACACTGATCCATGACACATTTTTATTTTTATCAAAGCCCCTGGTGCTCATTCATAAAAGGACTAACTAATGTTTAGGTATATAATCCATGGCCTAGAAAATGACAAAAAATGTATAGAACCATACTCCCTGGAGTATAAACTGGAAGTGAATTTTCTCCACTGCCCTGTAGCCCATTGAACTCAGTCTCAGGGTTGGTAAATATGCTAATAAGTGCTTCTTTTTTTTTTTTTTTTTTTTTACCCAAATACTGAATTTATCATGGACTGAGATACTAATTTCATCTCTTTCGTCCTAAACTTTTTAGACCAGATGACTGTCCTTTCTGGCTCAAAACTTTCCTATTCCATATGGGTTCTCATCATTGTATTAGTATGTTACTTGATAGTCTTCATTTATATACAAGTAATCTCTTGGGAGTAAAATTTGTGTGAAAAAACTGTGGAGTAACATTACTCAAAATCAGTTTTGGATTATCTGTAGAATTTTCTTTCACAAATCTTACTCTTAGTTACCAGCTCTCTTTGCTTAAGTCGTTTATAGACCACAGAAAGCAGGAAGAGAATACTTAAACCAAACAGTTACTCCTATCCTCTTAAGGCAAAGAAAAGCCATCCTAAAAATAAAAATAACAAATAAAGAAGCAGACATAGTGAACTCTGTTAAGACATGTGACTTGTATCAGTTTGGGTACCAAGACTGTCTATCTCCAGCACAGAGGAAGAACAGAGACAAAAGAGCAGTAAATTAGATCAGAGAACCCAGACAATTGTTGTCTCCACCTCAGGGCTTTATTTTCTATTTCAAGGTACCATAAATTCCCAGCATGCTAGGCATATATATTATTAAAACCGTATACAGTAACAAAACAAATTCCAAAGCCATATAGAATGATTTTGGATTTTCTAAAACACTGGTTCCCTCCACTAACACACAAAATCAAAATTGATTGTTTTAATTTCTTAAGGAGGCAGTGTGTCTATTTTGTTTCCACAGGAGATGTACTTTTAGGGCACCATTTTCTGGAAACGGGCTTACCGTGTTACAAAGATACGCTGGGGTCTACGATTATTAACTCAAGTCAATTTAGGGCATTGTCGAAGGCTTCAACACTGGGGAAACTCTATTATTTAATTATAGATGTCTTTGAACTATCTTTAGACATTGAAAATGGAAAGTAAAATTTGATGAGGGAGGTGAGAAAAAAAAAGAAGATATATGTTTTAAAGATTCTTTTGACAAATATGTCCAAAGGACCAGGAGTGGAAAGATAGGGACAAAAGTCCAAAATGTTCCCAGTTTTGGTATTCATCTCTAAAAAATCAAAATTAGATAATAACCAGATTTTTATTGAAAAAAATTAGGTTACTCTATGATTCCTTATCTAGAATTTTCAGAAAACAGATTATGACATCTACTTCTGTCACAAAACTTTAGAAGTAAATGGGTAAAAAGTAAATTATGATGCAGCAAAATATAAAGTTTAAGAAAAAAGGACTGGTTACAGACCTTCTATACTTTGAAGTAAGTTATGGGGGATTAATATGGTCTCTGAGTGTAAAGGAAATGATAGACAACAAATATTTCTCTTTTTTAAAAATATATCTTTATTGATTTCAGAGAGAGAAAGAGCGGGGAGGGAGAGAGAGAGAAACATCAATGATGAGAGAGAGTCATGGATCGGCTGCCTCCTGCATGCCCCTGACTGGGGATTGAGCCCACAACCCAGGCATGTGCCCTGATCAAGAATCGAACCATGATCTTCTGGATCCTTAGATCGATGCTCAACCTCTGAGCCAGACCCGGCCGGGCACCAAATATTTCTTATAATTTCCATTTGTTTCTTCTTCTTAAAATATTGCTAACATACAAGTAAGTGGCATCTGAAAACAATATTATTTAAATTGAAGCTATAAATCATATTAACATAGCTATATTACAATAGAACCATAGGAAAAGTGATTGAGACATTTGTTTTTAACATTCATTGTAACTTTACTTTCAGGCTGTTTGCAGAAATTCGTTTCAAAATCTAAGAAAGCCTGATATCACCAAGGTGGAGCTTTTAAAAGATGTCCAGAACAAACAAGATCTTCTCATCCGATTAGTAGCTCATGATATTGAAAATAATTTAGAAAATAACAGGGAAGAAGAACAAATATCTGGCTATTATGAAATTGTCCTAAGAGAGGACATACAAGAGGACTACTTAGAAGAACAACTTGAAGATCAAGCGAAAGAAGCCACAAAGGCAAATATTGAAAGCACTAAAGCAACTTCAAATCATATACTAGAACCTAAGGAGAGAGAAGTTAAACATCCTGTTGCTGAGCTTAGCATGTCCACCTACTCGACAATCCTGGCTGTAACAGACTCCTTTGGAGAAAAAGAGCCACAGGATAAGGTGAGTGAGAAACATGACGGTCAGTGACCAGATATGTATTGAAAAGGTAGAGATCTTCAGAAATTCTGTCCAAAATATACCTTAATTGGTCAGAGAAGAATACTAAAATGGTTCCAGTCTTTTCCTAAGCCTGGTAATATTTATATGATGAGAGAAATAATTAACAGGTTAAGCCATAAAACTCAATGGAGGGAACACAGACAGCAGAGAGACCTAGATTAGTTAGAAGCCTGAGGAGAACATAAAATGGAAACCATGTAAGAGAAATGAAAGCTAATTATTTATATCTATTACTTAACAGATCCCAGACCTTTTGTATCTTAGCTAGTAAATACCCATTCAATATTCTGTGTACAGAAGCCTTATGCAGGTAGGATGTGACCAGAAGGTGGGCCATGGTAGGAGGAAGTAAAAATATCCATACAAATTTAGATTGTCTAGGTTTGAATTGAAAATTATTTGAGGAAATAAAGGCTAAAAATTTCCCTAATTTGGGAAAGGAAATAGACATCCAGGTCCAGGAAGCACAGAAAGCTCTAAATAAGATGAACACAAGGAGAGCCACATCAAGACACAATATAATTATAATGGTAAAAAATAAAGATAAAGAGAGAATCTTAAAAGCAGCAAGGGAAAAATAACTTATTACATACAAGGGAAATCCAATAAGGAAGTATAAAGTAAAAAAAAAAGTAAAAGTTGTCGTGAAAAAATAAAACGAGAGGAGTAATAATGTATAGCTTTGGGATGTGTTTAAATTTAAGTTGCTAACAACTTAAACTAGACTGTTATATATTTATGATGTTATATGTGAACCTCAGAGTAACCACACACACACAAAAAAAAAACTATAGTAAACACAAAAGAAAATGAGAAAGGAATTTAAATAGAGCACTAAACAAAGCCATAAACCCACAAAGGAAGAGAGAAAGAAACAAAGTAACTGCAAAAGCAGCTGGAAAACAAGTAACAAAATGACAATAAATAATACTTATCAATAACTTCTTTAAATGTAAATGGACTAAATATACCAATCAAAAGACAGAGTGGTTGAATGGATTAAAAAAAAAAAAAAGCAAGACTCATCTATATGCTGCTTACAAGGTATTCACTAGAGAAGTAAGGACACACAAAGACTGAATGTAAAAGGATGGAAAAAGCATTCTGTGCAAATGAAAACAAAAAACTGTATAGATATAATCATGTCAGACAAAGTAGACATTAAAACAAAGACTGTAATAAAAGACAAAGCATAGCACTACATAATGCTAAAGGGAGCAACTGAACAAGAGACTACAACATGTATAAATACATATGCACTTAATATAGTAGGAGTGCCAAAATATTAATGGAACTAAAGGAAGAAACTGAGAGCAGTACAATAATAGTAGGGAATTGTAGCACCACTTACAGCAATGGATAGATCACTGAGACAGAAAATCGATAAGGGAACACCAGCCCTAAATTATATAGTAGTCCAAACATCAAAATAAAGGTATTTTCATAAAAGGTAGGGCCATGAAATTACATATAACTTCTCAACAAATACATAAGAGCACTGCTTATAATGACTGACCTGGTAAGCTTCTGAATTGACCAGAGTTATACCTATTCCTTTTATTTTTGAGCTCAGTAAAGTATGATTAAAAATATTAGTGAAGTACAGAAATGGAAAACTATGGTCTTCAAACATTGTGCTAGGTTTGTCTTTAAAATCCATTCAAGCTCCTGTATTATCATATAGGTCATTTTCACTGAGCCAATTCCAAAGAATTATATTGGAAATATATATTTTAATTAGGATTATAGGGTTCATCCATTTTTTAAACAATCTCTAAAACTCTTTCTCATATTGTACATAAGAGTGCAGTAATACCTGGTTTTCACTTTTTCAGAAAGAAGAAAGAAATATTACTGAACCAACACATCACCTCATACACAGAATTATGAGCGCATCTTCATACAACCAAGAAGATCTGATTCTATCTGGCAGGTACATGAAATTAAAGCAGTACAAAAGCATGGAAATCTGAGGCGAAAGAAATGTGTGTCATGTGTGTCGGAAGAGTGGGTTCCCTGGTAAAACTATGACTGGGCAATTATTCGGTCCTAGACCTCCCCTCATTCCTTATTCTTGCCTCCTGTGGCTCTCTACTGCGGATGCTCCCAAAGGCTCCCCTTTCCACTTGGGTGACTGCAGGAGCGGAGCCTGTGCTGTGTGGCATTGATAGAGGACAGACAGCACTGTAGACTTGACAACTAATTAATAACTATATTTAAACAGTTAAAATTTATCTAAAACTGCTCTTAAGCTTATAAGAATATGCGTAAGCTGGAAGACCTAGCACTGGGGGAAAAGCAATGGGTATAAGGAGGGAAGTATACCTGGTTACAATTTTTTCCCACACAGCATGTGGGAATTGTTTCTTTTTGACACTGACACTAACACTATTTGGGGACATTGCTTCCTGGACCATTATTGCCTTTTATTCCTGAATAATGGTTATTTAAACACATAATTAGTCATACAAGCACCTCTCTACTGTTTATATCAATGACGAAGACAAGGGCATGGAAAATACTAAGTAAAAGTCAATTTAGAAAAAGATGAAAGACCAGGAACCTGCAGGCCTTTGTTTGCTCAGGCAAACAAAAAATAAACAACTGGAGACTGATACAGCAACTTCATAGGAGGTCTGGAAAGCAGTCAAATGTAAGCAGAAATCAAGTAAAAGCCACATCCAAAACAGTAGGAAATTCCACAGATTTTCACTTGCACTTTCTCAACCCCCCCTGTAACATGATGTGGCACAGTTAGGTAGAAATAGATCAATTCCCAGTTCCTTCCCTTGGGATGGAAAGAGTCCATTTTAACTTGTCTGCAATATTCTGGACTATCTGTAGACTTTCTGAGGGAATGTTTCCTGTCTTGCCTGAATAGAAGCTCAGATTGGGAGTCGTGGCATAGTTTGCATCTGAGCCTGGAAACCACAGAAGGCAGTTGATGGGTGCCACAGTGCATGAAAAAAATCAAAAAAGAAAAGAGAAATCAAGACATTCTAGTAAAAAAGGAGGGGGCTGATGAAATTCATTAGCACTAGACATGGCCTACAAGAAATGACGGAAGTCTTTCAAGTTGAAGCTAAAAAATGCTAAACAGTAACTCAAATCATATGAAATGCAAAGTTCCCTAGTAAAGGTAAATACATGAACAAATACAAAAAACCAGTATTATCATAATTTTGGTTCACAGCTCTACTTTTTATTTTCTATAGGATATAAAAGACAAACACATAAAAATAATTCTAAATCTATTCAGATGGGTATAAAATACATAAAGACATAATTTGGGACATCAATAATATAAAGGAGATGGAGGTTAATCTATAAAGGAATGATTTTTGTATTGAAGTTAAATTGGTGTCACTTTAAGATACATTGTCAGAACTTTAGGAGATTATATGTAATCTATGTGGTAAAAACAAAGAAAATATAAAATATGAATAAGAGGAAATGAAAAGTGGATCAAAATGTGTCTACAAAACATCAGCTAACACAAAGGAAGACAGCAGTAGAAAAAAGAAGGGATCAAAAAGCTGTAAGACACACAGAAAAAATTTAAAAATGTCAAAAGTAATTGCTTTCCTACCAGTAATTATTTTATTTGTAAATGGGTTAAACACTGCAATTAAAGGAGATTGACAAATCTTTTTGAAGGAGGATCCAATTATATATTGTCTATAATAGACTCCCTTTAGATATAAGGAATAGAAGGAAATTACCTCAAAATAATAAAAGCCATATATAGAAAACCTACAACTATGTTTCTCTTCAGTGGAATGGAATAGAAAGTCCAAAAACAAACCCTTCATATGTGGTCAAATGATATTTTATAAGCATGTCAAGACCATTTAATGGGGGAAGAACAGTCTTTTTAACAAATGGTGCTGGGAAACTAGATAATCGTGCACAACCGGATTTGGCAATAATTTATTGGATATAACACTAAAAGTACAAGCAACAAAAGAAATTAAATGAATTGGACTTCACCAAAATTAAAAGATTTTGTGCTTCAAAGGACAGAGTGAAAAGTCAAACCATAGAATGAAAGAAAATATTTGCAAATCATATATCTGATATATCCAGAATATATAAAGCACTCCTACAACTCATGACTACCAAAAACAAGAACAACATGATTAAAAATTGGACAAAGGACTTAAATAGCTATTTCTTCAGGGAAGATATATAAGTGGAAATAAGCACATGAAAAGATGCTCAATATCACTAATCGTTAGGGAAATGCAAATCAAGACCACAGTGAGACATTATTCACATCTAGTAGAATAGCTATTATTTTTAAACATCAGAAAATAACAAGTGTCATCAAGAATGTGTAGAAATTGAAACTCTTGTACATTGTAGTTGGGAATTTAAAATGGTGCAATCTCTGTGAAAAACAGTATGACACTTTCTCAAAAAATTAAATGTAGAGTCACCATATGATCCAGCAAGTCCACTTCTGGATATACACCCAAAAGAACTGAAAACAGGGACTCAGAGATATTTGTACTCAGCAGCATTATACACAATACAAATCACAGAAGCCACTCTATTGGTGGGTGAACGGGTAAATAAAATGCGGTATCCACATTATTAGCCTTTGGAAAGGAAGGAAATTCTGAGACATGCTACCATATGTATGAACTTTGAAGACATTATGCTAAGTGAAATAAGTCACAAAAAGGCAAATATTACATGATTTCATTTATATGAGATACTTAGAGTAGTCGGAAAGTAGAATAGTGGTTCCAGGGGATGAAGGGAGGGAAATGGTGTGTCAGTAATTAGTGGGTACGGAGTATCAGTTGGGGGACCTGAGAAAGTCCTGGAGATAGATGATGGTGGTGCTTGTATAACAACGTGAATGCATTCAAGCATGAAACTGTACACCTAAAATAGGTTAAAATGTTAAATTTTATGTTATGTGTATTTAACCAAAATTTTTAAAGTGGAAAAAAATGTCAATTTAGAAATCATATTTATCAAACTCAGTGATATAGTATTTCAAGTTTACTTCAATATGAAGAATGACTGACATATTGCTCTTTTGCTTAACTAGTAATTCTTTCACTCATGAAATGCTTTTTCTTTTAGTGAGACCCAAGATTGTACCCCAGGCACACATGCTAAAGTATTAGAAGGTTAGATTTATTTTATTTAACTTAAATTAGAAAGTATTACAAATAGGACTTTGTTTACTGCTTTGATAAATATTTTCATTATCAAATCTAAAGTTGATACTGTTTTGTTTTGGTTTTTTCTGTGAGCTTTAACTACTTTTGGAAATATGATACAGTAATACATCACTCGGGTGTTAAAATAAGCCAATTAATTTATCTTGTCTGATTCCAATTAAATTTTATTAATGATTTTGATGAAGAATATGGCATATCATGAATTTATATTTACTATACCCCTTGGAAACATATCCACAAAATAAGGGTATATTATACCATAGTTTCCATCTGAGCCAGAAACCATGATACTAGGATTTAACAATTTTTTGAGAGGTTATGCTTCCTTTGGCTTAGCCCTTAAAAAATGTACCAGAAAAAGGGGGGTGGGGGCTTTCAGAGCTACATGTGTCTGCTGACATTAAAATCTGGCCAGCATGGACCTCACTTTTTTTTTAATCTCTTAGTACCAACTCCTCAGAACGTGTGTGAGGATGATTTGGCCCTCCGTTTGCTGAATCCTCAGGGGATCAATATAGTTCTAACAGCCCTGGCTGGCACGGCATCAGCCCACACACCAAAGGGTCTCGGATTCGATTTCCAGTCAAGGGCACGTACCTGGGTTGCAGGTTCGATCTCCAGCCCCGGTTGGGACACGAGGGAGGCAACCAATCAATGTGTCTCTGTCACATCGGTGTTTCTCTCTCTCCCCCCCCACACACAACCCTTCCACTCTCTCTGAAAATCAATGGAAAAAATATCCTTGAGTGAGAATTAACAAATATATATATGTGTATATGTGTGTGTATGCATGTATATATATATTTCTAACAGTGACAGCATGTACAAGAGACAGAGTGCTGTGTTTACTGTTAAGTGGCCTTGAAACTCAAACCACAGGTTTACCATGGCTATTTCAAACATACAACCCACTCAAGGAGTTAGTTGAGAAGTATATTCTCTCATGGAAAGTATATTCTCTCATAGAAAGTGGAAGTGAAAATCACTTTCATTAAGGTGATTCATAGTATGGCAGTGAGTATGCCAGAATACTATGAACACACCATAACCAGGAGGTATCCCAATAATCCCTAATATGATACATTTATTATGAATCATAGGCTGTTAGAGTCAGTCAGAAACACTTAATACAATGTCCTCCTTTGTTCATATGAGGAAACTCAAGTTCAGGGTGAGGAAATGACTTGCCCAAGGTCACTTTCAGTCAAAGGCAGATGCAGTGCAGACCCATAAATTCAGTTTGTTTTGTTTTTTCCTCCTTTGTTGCAGTGATCATGCTTAATTCTTATATCTTTTAGTAGCATTGCAGAAGTCCAATTCAATCATTTACTTATTCATTCATTTAAAGATTTACTGAGCACCTCCTTTGTGTTACACCCCATGTATGAACAACCTGACAAAGTTCTTGCTGTCATAGAATTTATATTGTAACTTGGAGCAGGGCATCAAAGGGTAAGAACATAAACAAGATAATTTCAGATAATAAGTACTTCACATCTCATCTGGGACAAAAACCAAAGAAATTGCAATGGCCTGCAAAACCCTACATCATTTGGACATTACCCTAAGTCCCCTATTACTTCTTGAATTACTCCCTCTGATTCTCTTTCTGGTACACTCTGCTCCAGCCTCACTGACCTCGCTGCTCCTTAAACATCCCAAGTACTCAGGGCCTTTGCACTTGCTGATCCTCGTGCAGTGCTCTTCCTCCTGTATCTGCATTGCTCAGTCCTCACCTTCAGATCTCTACTCAAACGTCACCTCAGTGAAGTCTTTGACTAAATTTTTTGAAATTGTCACCCCATTTCCACCATGGCACTACCCTCTCCACTTACCTGCTTGTTTTTCTCCCTGGAATTTGTTATTATCTGTCAATTGATTTTTTTCACTACTTCCTTCTAGAATGTAAGCTTCATGAAGATCACAGCTGTATTTCCAAGAGCCTAAAACAGGCTTATAGGAGGAGGAGGCATTTAGTAAAATAGGGGAGACTATGAGAGTAACTAAGGGGAGGGGCACAAAAATACTGTTTTGGTTATATTGAGATTGAGGTACCCATTAGATATTCAAGTTGAGGTGTCACATAAGCAATAAGATATTTAAGTCTGGAGTTCAATGGACAGGTCAAGGCTGAACATATACATTCTTAGTTTTATATAATATATACAATAAAATCTCAAATAATTTAAATCTGAATATCTGAGATCCTCAACTATCAAGAATTTTTTCATATCTCTTCATTAAAGAGCTAAGATAATGTCTACAACTTTTAAGGGAAAGGACAAGAGATCTCAACCTCCAATGTAGCCAAGATTTTGAAATTTTCAAACAAAAATTTTAAAGCTGTGATTACAAAAATTTCCATGAAGTAACAGTAGATATGCTAGAAACAAATGGAAAGATAGATGTTCTCAGTAGAATTTAAGTATATTTATTCATCTCAGACACGTGGTAGCATCGGCCCCGCTTTTAGATTAGAGATTCTCAACTCTAATTCTCGCACATTAGAGCTATGTGGGAATTTATTTTTAAATATCAATGTCTGCCCCCACCCTTAGAGGTTTCCATCCTATTGATGGTATGTGATCCAAGAATTCATACTTTTTAAAATATATATAGATCTTTATTGATTTCAGAGAGAGGAAGGGAGAGGGGGAGAGAAAGATAGAAACATCAATGATGAGAGTCATTGATGGGCTGCCTCCTGCACGCCCCTGCCTGGGGATCGAGCCCGCAACCCGGGCATGGGCCCTGACCGGGAGTCGAACCCCGATCGCCTGGATCCTAGGTCGATGCTCAACCACTGAGCCATTCCTGGCTGGGCAGGAATTCATACTTTTTAAAACTTCGACTAGACTCTTGCTATATGTGTGTTTTCATGTTCTGTCATATCCTTTTGTTAAAATATATTGTCAAAGAGCTCATGTGCTAAATAAATGGTGCAGAAAAAAGAATTCAAATGCATATGTTTTTATTATCTGTACAGTCTTTATCTCACATGACAAAAAAAATTCACTAGGTTATCCAACTAAAAATTTCCTCCAAACAGGTGAGAAATTACAGCAGTTTTAATGCACTTCTGCTTTCACTTGACCACTCTGAAATAGACACCCTCACTGCATACAACTAAAAGCTAGTTTCCCATGTGAGTTTAGCTCATCAGGCTTTTTCAGAGTATTTTCTGCTAGAAAAAGAAAGGCATTCTTTGCACACTGACTAAAGAAGCACCAGAGTTCAGTAGGTATAATGAGGCCATGAGAGTGAGAAAGCTGGACCCTAATCCCACCTTGGCCATTTTCTACTCATGTGACCTTAGGCAGGTATTTGACCTCATCAATATTTAGTGTCTAAAAATAGAGATATCATTCTTCTTGTTTCCTTCACAGAAAAATAAAAAATCTTTGTGAATGCTTTTTAAGCCCATAAAGCATCTTATAAATGTCAATTTCTAAATTCTAAATAATCAATGCTGTAGTATGACTATAGTATTAAAATGTCTAATATCCATATTCCTTTTTTGCTTTATCCACAGAAACTCCCAGGGGCAGTACTTCCAAACAAGGATCTAAAATGCTGGCAAAGGTAACTTCAGCTCTGTCAAAGGTGTTTTCTCGAAGTAACAGCAGTACTACCAAATCTTCGTTACCACCTCACCAGGAAGAACGGTGAAACTTTTATACCTGAAACTTTTATGCTTACTTCCCTTAGAAAATAAAAAGATTTTTAAAGCATAACATAGTGTGTTATGATTTATATAATACTGAGGAAAAATTAAGAGCAAAAGAAAGTAAAATAGAGGCCTGGGTAAGACAAGGGTTTGGTAAATGTTTTTGATAAGCATTTTGATATGAGAAGATGTTGAGTGCTAGTATTACCCATGTGCCATGAGGGTAAAGACACAAAAAGTGTAACTAGTACACCAGCCAGCCCTCCATTACAACCAGAAAATTAACTCGAATTTTTATCTGTTAAGTTTTTAAAGGTATTTTTACCAAAATTTTTAGCAAACTGAGATGAAACTGAAGCTGGATTCTATGACACAGCTATAAAAATGATTGGTTCACTGTTAAATGTATATTTGGATATTTAAATAAGGTATTTATACCATATATAAGAAATCAGTTTTTCCCACAGGAAGATAAAATTTCATCATCTTATATCTCCCAAACAACAAGACCCAAATATGGATAAAGCACCATATAGAAGTAAATAATTACTTTGTATAAAATATTAGATATGCATAAAATGACCCTTGTGACTGAAAAACCCTTTTCAGACACAATACCTTTGTGGATAAAATACCATCACTAAATAAATCATTGGCCTACATGTAAAGTTATTAAAACCTTTATGTAAATATTTTAACATGAAAATAGATAACAATAAAAAGTAAAGAGGAAAATTTAACAAGATGGATAGCTAGTACAGTGATAAAAGAAATTTTTCAAAATCAGTTAACAGGTTACTTTGAGATATAGATCCAATTGCAGCATGTTTGCCCCTGGAATCTAAGGATCTTGTTTAAAAAATCCAAAAAGGTGAACCAAACAGAAAAGAGTGTCAGTCATCATCACTATCAGCCCCAGTGCTGACTCATGAATTTTAAGGAATGTAGTATCTTCTTTTTTATCTAAAATTGTCTTGATAGTAGCCTGTGCTAAAAGCTGAAGCATCTGAGAAAATTTTGCTTTACCATATTGCATTTCCTTTAACAAAATTAGTCAGTGAGGTTATGACAGGAAGCACCAGAGAAAAAAGATGTGATTATATAGTAGAATGTTTACATTGCAATGATAATGAAGTTATTCAATTAGTAATTTAGTCAATTCATAATAATCTCATAAATTATTTAAGCTCAAAGATCATACAAAATCATGTAACCCATAGGTGCAAAGTTTTTCAAAAATGACAGTGATGAGAAATGACTGGCAGTCCAGTGCAAAACTATTTTCAGGAGGACTTTGGTCAGCATGAAACAGATAAACACTGTGCTTGCCTTCTCCCATGAAAATATCAAAATATTCAATGAAATTTTACTTATAGAAAACCTAAACATATGCTGAAACTAAGCAATAGTGACAATCTCCTAAAATAACCATAAATGAATACAAGCAATGAATTAAATGATGGTCAACTAGAAATTTCCATTTCTGAAACAGCTTTGTCATAGTGCTTAAAGTAGTGCTGAGGCCCGGCGGGGCGTGGCTCAGCGGTTGAGCCTCGACCTAGGATCCAGGCGATGGGGGCACAGGCCCGGGTTGCGCGCTCCATCAGTGACTGATGTTTCTATCTCTCTCTCCCTCTCCTTTCCTCTCTCTGAAATCAATAAAGATATATTTTTTTTTTTAAAAGTAGTGCTGAGAAACTTCACTGACTAACTTGATTAGAGATGAAACGGCCTGTGAGTGAGAAAGAACCACCTTCTACCACTCACCACGTAGTTTTATAAACATACAGAACAAAAACGAAGAAAAAATAATTCAAATACAAGATCAAATGCGTTTTGGGAGAATATCTTCCTGTAGGTGGGGACCAGCCACTGTAGCATCATTCAGGGATAAAGGACATAAAAAAAAAAATGAAAAAATGGGAACTTCTTTATTTGGAGCTACATTTTCCACCACCGTGGTAGTAAGATATTGGATGAAGCCAGCTGACAATGTTGGGACAATGGGGGGGGGGGATGAATTAGTATCACAAAATTTATACTTAAATTTATTCCCTACGCATATCCACGTGGTAAAAAAACAAGAATGAACATCAATTCTTACCTCTCGTAATACACAAAAATTTACTCTAAATGGATCATAGATCTAAACGTAAAAGTTAAAACTATAAAAGTTCTGGAAGAAAATAGATAAATTCTTTGTCATGTATTATATGAAAATAGTTCATTAGAAGTAGGCAAAATATTTTAACACTATGCAAAAAAAAAATCATGGATGGTCAATAAGCACATGATAAGACACTCAGCAAGTAAACAGATTAAAAACGATGGTATACATACACAATGGCATACAACTCTACAACTAAAAGGAAGTTAACTGCTGATACATGTAACAACATACATGAATCTAAAAATAATAATCCTCTCTGAAATGAAACAGACATAAAAAACTATATATTACATGATTCCACTTATATAAAATTCCAGAAAACTGAGGGGAGAAACAAGAAGGCGGCGTAGGTAACAGCTGCACCCGGCGCCTCCCGCAGCCACATCAAAATCACAACTAAAACACAGAACCACCGTCACTCAGAGCCTCCTGAGACCCAGCTGCACAGAAGCCCCACAGCCAGGGAGCTGAAGGAGCATCCAGACCGGGAGGAGGGGGAGACGCGGGCGGGTCGGGGCTGGATCCCGGAGACGCGGCCGCGGGCCCACACCCAGTGCCGCGGGGTAAACCCGGGAGGGAATCTCAGCGGCGGAGAGGGAGGGGTCCCGGCCCCACAGCAGCCCCCAGCCCAGGGCTCCAGGCTGGGAAGAGACGTCCCCACAACTCTGGGCTGTGAAACCAGCGGGGACTGTCCCTGAGGGTCGCGGAGGCTGCGGGAGCCCCAGCAGCTCCTCTAAAGGGCCCGGCGCGGACTCACTCGGACGCTCCCTCTGAGCCCAGCGCCGGGCGGCAGCTTGAAGGGACCTGGGACACTCGGGGAGGAACTAACCTGTCTGAAATCCAGGCAAGAAGTGGAGGGGCGGCCTCCTCCCAGGCAGAAGGGCTGGCGGAGGCCATGGCTCCTGTGGCGAGTCCTCCCTGCACACAGCCGGCAGGCAGGCACCATATTTGAGTCGCCAGCACCTGACTCACACCTTTGGCCCCGCCCNGGCCCCGCCCCGTGATTCCCGGAGGCCCCGCCCCTCCCCACCTGCAGCTCATCCGGGCCATTTCCAGGGGCTTTTCCGTGCAAGTGGCCTCTCGAGCCTCATGCTTAGGACTTTCCTAAATCTCTCAAACAAGTAGCAACGGGTCCCATACGGCTTGATAAGCAGCCCCAGGCCTGGCACTAGCAGCAGCTGCATTGGCTCATAGCTTGGCCTCTCCTGGACAATGCCAAGCCCAGCATAAGTAGCAGCCAACTGTGGTTTTCTGTGTAGCTCATGCTGGGTGGCCCTGGGTAAGGCACTGGCAGAGGCTGACTTTGCACCTCCCGGGAGGCCCCAGAGACAGTGCACCTGGTGCTCAGACTCGACCACGCTGGATNTGGCAGAGGCTGACTTTGCACCTCCCGGGAGGCCCCAGAGACAGTGCACCTGGTGCCCAGACTCTACCACATCCACGAGTGACACTCAAGGGGAGCACTTGGTGAACACAAAAGCCCCACTGAAGTAAATCCTGCTCCATAGGGGTGTCTCCAGCACAGCAGCTCT